ATTCGGCCCGCGTTGGCTAATTTTCTGGTGAATTGTATACATGATTGTTAAAAAAAAATACAGGACGAGTAAATAATGACTTTCCGTAAAAATAAGTTAATCCGAGGTCAGTGCCTCGATAGCAATACTGCCCTAAAGTGGAAATAATAGCCCAATCCACACCCTCTCGTAACCCTGAGATTTGTCTTTTGTGTGCGTGAAGAAACCAGAGCATCCGATGGGACATTCATGAGGATGATTTATGGCATGGCCATGGGAGCATGATGCTCCTACCTTACATGAAATCAAATCAAGAACCGATGCCTGAGAAGCTGTCTTTCCTCAAGGAGCGGAAAGCTATCAGCTATCACTGGAGGCAAAGCAAACATCTTATTGAATTGTCAAGAAGAAGAGGAGAAAGATTGAATCTTTTATACGAAGAGGATCTCTCATGTCATGCTTTCCGATGCATCAGGAACACCAGGCCAAGTTGCTTGTTATAGCGGGGCTGAACCGCTAAGGGCTTCTTCGTTAACCCGCCTGATATTTGGTGTTATTGCTTCCACCATAACTTCAAAAAGAAAAAAGGTCGACTGAAAACCAGTTTTTGTTACTTAGGGCACGCGTTTATGCCTAGTAAATGTGCCAGTAATACTGTGGGATGAGATGTGGCGATTGATTTATCCTTAAAGTGACTGTCTTGAACATAAACGTCCTCTCAAACACCTTACCCTTACATTCAAGGAGGAACCGAATGTTTGTGACCCGATTAGTGTTACTATTAAATTGTAAATAGATGTCCTTCGAAGATGCTCAAGTGATCGAGATGAAATGAAGAAAATCGATTACTCGACACCATCTTTGCCGTTTACAATGCTTTCCTTCGAAACACTCGACAATCACTTAGCAATTATCGATTCCTTGTTTGACGTATATCGGGACAAATCCCATACAAGTACAATTTATTTATTGTTCCAACATGGAGGAAACCAACCAAAAGCTCTTGTGTCAACTTCGGGAACAAAAGAACTCCTTTGCAGCCATCATTTAAAATTGATGAGGAGACCTGGGAAAAGTTTTGCCGAGAAGTTTTGTCGATGACAATAAATAAGGAGGATTGTATTTAGGTTATACGAAGACATTTGCAAGATGAGCGGGAAAGCGGAGGATGTGCAGTTAGTGGCTGAAGAAGCAGAGAAAGCGATCCATGAGCAAGAGGAAAGATCTGAAAATACAGGCTTGGCTGTTAGAGAGGAGGTAGTTGAAGATCGAGTTGGAAGTTTGAAGGAAAAGAAGGGAGACAGTCCAGCCATGGAAGGAGCAAATAACGAAGCTTTCCAGGAAGTCTGTGATGAGGACCAACCTCCGAGGGATGTAGGGGACGTCAGCATGCAGCCAACGATGGAGGAGCCCGACCAAGCTCGTGGGCAATCCACCCTTAGCGGGTCGGTGGAAAGCCTCCTGGACAAATCGGGTATGATGGAGCACGCGGATCAGCTGGAATCCAACGGGTATGAGAGTATGCAGACCTTGAGTCTTGCTAGCAAGGAGGACCTGATGGCTAGCGGGTTGAAGCGAGGACACGCTAGCCTGATGGTGCATCTTACTGCAGTGAGACAGGAGAGGTTGAAGAAGGAGAAACAAGAGTAAGTGTTGGGCTGCATTGAGGAGATGATCTAACCAGAAAATAACAACATCATTTTCTCGGGCTCTGTTGTTTTCTTCCTGTATCCCTAGACCTCAATTAGCAGCAAAGAACATTCTCAAAGAGTATACTCGGTGTAATGGTTTGTACCACCATGTACACAAGATGGCGAGGAATTTTGCTGAAGGAGGGAAGCCCACAATCTAGCAGACGCCGCAAACAAAGCTGTGAAACACCTATTTTTAAATCCCCCCCCCAAAAAAAAACAGTTTGCAGACACTAGATTCAGATGACCATCTTGACCTTATTGTCCACCCTTGCTTCTCCAAGTTATTTCAAATTCAATTCTGTATAGAATCATGTCAGAAGTTTCAGACAATGTCGATTTATTTGCGTACCTGAACATTATTATCAGGGACTGAATGGAGACGATTTGTTTTACACAAGAACGTGTTATGCAAGAACCAACGGATATAGTGTAGTTAAAGGGAAAGTACAACATTTGCTTTTGCTGCAATTTTCAGAAATAAATGGATTTGGAGGATTAGTACGTTAAAACAAATATTGTTAAAATGACTTGTTTCACGTTTTGGGCTCGTAGATGCTGGAAAAACCAAGAAAACCAATCATGTTCTTGTAGTTCGGTTCCCTGACCCCACTTAAGATGACATGGAGAATTTATAGACTTTGGGGAATTGTAAGGTCAGAGAATCGGTCTAGCAGGCTTGAACCCCTTCACAGTTGTGTAATCAATTGCAAAGAAAACGCGGAATAACTAATTATGAAAAATTAGGAACAGTTAAAAAAAAAAAACAGTTTTCTCCAACGCTGGTCGGCCGACCAGCGTTGGAAAAATGTCATTTTTCTTGAAAATGTCAGCACACCAGGAGCCATGATTTTACAGGATGCTTTAGACTGTCATTCCCTAACAATGCAGTATGGTACTTTGTGATAATTTGATCATTTCGTTTTGTGATGTTTGCAAATATTGTATCTTCCCTTTAACTTTTAAAGATAAGTCATCTTTTGCTTGAGGCAAGTAGATTTATAACGAACGTTTTCCTTATTTTTGCAACTGCAACCGGTAATCGGCGTCTGTCGTCGCTACCCCGGTCATGTGTATGTTTTGGCCAATGTGCTATGTAATTTCCGGTAGTGGTGTTCTGAGTAAAAACAAATCAAGTTTTTTTACCCCAGTTTGGTCATGTGACATGTTGGGGCTGGGCTACTGATACTTTTGACAAAATTTGGTTGAAATCGGTCAAAAAATGTATAGGCGTAATAGACAATGTCAACGTTTGTTACTAACTAACTAACTAACTAACTAACTAACGCGGACTAACGGAGAGGCATGCTGATCTGTTGAGCTGCTACCCCGTATGTAGCATCTGCTTTCGACAGAATAAGGTGTAATATTCGAACTTAATGAAAAAGAGGCAATTAGAATTTAAAAGAGGCAAGTATCAAGGTTTTACAGGAAGCAAATTGGATGCAAAAATAACAACAAGTTTGCAATCATTATATTTCAACCATTTATACGTGCCGATACACTAAAAGAACATGCAAAACAGAATCAATAAACATAATTTACACGAAAGTAGAAAGTGTATCAGTCTGGAGTAGAATCAGCGCATGTCGTTTGCGCTTGCAGAAAAAAAGTCGGTCGGAAATTATCGTGTGCCGTTAAAACACCGAGTATCCTTTTTTTTCAAAATGCGAGTCATATTTTGCATTGATGATCGCCGCGGATACAGTAAAAAAGAATTACAGCATCTTCACTGTGACCCAGTTTTATGTATATTTGAATGATGTTTCCATGGTTAAGAGACCCAAGTCTGCAGGGGAAATGGGCCATTGTGCAAAGCTGGGAGATTTCTGGGGGGAAATCTGGTTTTTGTTTAATTTTTTTATTTCTCCTTTGGCTCTGTGCCAACTTCGCATTTATTGTTGTTACTGCGTTAAAAAGAGAGCGATTTACAATATACACTTCGGTAGAAGACGTCCATTAAATATTTAATAACAATTTGCGTTTGGTAAGTCGTCTGTATTTTTGTAAGTAAGTTCTGAAATGTCACTTTTATAGCAAACATTTTAATTGCTTAATTGTTTAAACACTATTTAATTTTCAATTACCTACAACGAAAGATAAAATTTACCCTTTCGCTTTAAATAATCAAAAATGCAAAACGTGCATGGTGATTCATTTTTCGACATTTATTTCCCCAAAATGTTATGCTTGGCCGCCCATTAATTGGGGCCGTTTGCAAGTTCTGATGATATGAACTGATGCAAAGCCCAAAATTACAAAGTTCAACAATACTAAAAACCAGGTGACGACATTCCATTTGAAATACCGTTTTCACAGATGTAAACCAATGTTTGGTCAGAAATGGATGTTTAACTGCAAATGCGATCTTTTTTTAATAAGCCGACCTATGGGTGAGACCACAGGTGCATTTCTTGGTAATTAGCGAAGCATAGCCACAGGTTGCATGGCTCCCAGGGATGAGCCCAACACTTTAGGAATGAAAGTACAAGGCACCTGCTTCTCTCATCATTGATCCCTCCCCTTAAAGGTGGCGGTTATAAGTAGGACGTCTTGTGTAAATGATCGATCGTCTTCAACATACACTCCAATTGGAAATGTGAGGATACACAGCAAGTCAACAAACTTGTGGGGAAGTTGTGTCGACTTATAGTGCGGCCCGTCTTCTTTGTATCTTGTAAGATACGGACAGGATTGACGTGTGGCCTTTTTTTCCCAGGAAAAAACACCATGGCAATGTTTTTATATAGGTTCAATTAAGTGGCGTTTTTTTAGGGGGGGTGGGGGGTTACTCATCGGTATTACGTGTTCTCTACTCTTTTTAAAGCTTCGTAATTTTTACCCACATACTAGGTGGATCAATGTTTGCAGAAATGTCACATTTGAAATCGGATCTTGGAACAGCCGTACGCGTAGGCTTCAAAACTTTTTACCAATCGATCACGGCCGCACCACGTGACCAACATTATCATACATGATATGTACGTACGCATAGTGCATGCGAAATCCATTCATTTTTAAGTCAGCCATTTAATTTGTGCACGTACAAGTAATCTTGACTATACGCACGTATCGATACAAGTATCTGTTTCGTCTAAAGATCAAGAGAAAGATACCATTCATCGGCAACAACTTGAATAACATGTAGTCTTGGTCCCGAACCCCAAGAACACTTTGGACTTCGTTCGAACTCATTCGTGATCGAAGTCTTTCAATGACTGGAATTAATTTGTCAAAGGCGAAGTGATTGACAGCGACACGTGTTGCCAGTGTATTTTAAAGCTGCACATTTCGCTCGTTAATTTTGAGAATAATGTCTGTTTTCCACAGAGACGGAGGAGCAAACGTCCAGGATATTATTGTGGAGAACGGTGCAGACGAGGCGGAAGAAATGGAAAAGAAGGTAAGGAAATACCATCATTTTGTTAGTAACCTAGCGCCTACACCGTACCTGACGCGACGACAATTCACGGCACAGGCATTAGGCCTAATAGTAATAGACGTTTATTACGGTATTACTATGTGTTCGGATTGATAACTTTTTCCCAGACTAGTTCTGTTGAATGGGAGTTTGCGGTAACACCATGTGAATGATATCTCTTTGTGAGTTGTGTGGTTCAGAGAAGAAACATGTTGGTTTAACTCGACGTTTCACTTTCAGTCAATATGCTCTGTTCGTCATCAGGAGACACCTACTTTGATTCTTTGTAGTTGTGATGACAACACTATTGTATTAAATTATACATGTGTAGAGCACAAGCATATTCGTTTACAGTATACTATAGTGTGTTCGAATACTTAATAAAAAATAAAAGTGTGTTCGGTAACTTTTCCAGACAGAACTGGTACAATTGCCATTGCTCATCAAACGTCCTTGCCCAGTTAGAATACATTAACAACACTACTTTGATTCTTTGGAGTTTCTTTGTAATTATTCTCAAGGACCTTTGACTAATATTTAATAAATGGCACTAAGGCAGTTGATGGGAGCAATACTAGTACAGATGGCTCATTTAATAAATTCAGGGTCCACTTTTACACATGACACAATGCAGTCGTCTCCCTAACGCAGTCGTCCTCCAAGAGTGATTATGAATAGCAAACTACCTACCAAACAAATAGAAAATGGTTTGAAGTCGTTCTCAATGACACTTGAATGGCAAATTACAACGTACCAAGGTAACATGGACAGGAAAATTGTCACACTTTGGACCCTGCACTCATAGAATGACGACCCATAACAAAGAAATGTACTGTAATATAGATACTCCCATGTGTACTACAAGCTCACTCAGGTGGGACTCGAACCCCCAACTTCCTGCTGTTACATTTGTATCTTTGTTTGTAATACACAGCCTAATGGAAATGGCTACGAGGTTATTGCAGCGGACACAGCCACCACGACCCAAGTAGCTGAGAGGGGTAACTGGGGGCGTCAGATGGACTACATCTTGTCCTGTGTGGGGTATGCCGTGGGACTGGGTAACATCTGGAGGTTCCCTTACCTCTGCTACAGACATGGTGGAGGTGAATCGCAACTTCAAGTTTTCCTATTCAATCAAATTTTATTGTTTCCCCTACAAAAAGAGTTTATTACAGGAAAATGAACATTAATTAGAACTTGATGCAGTTCCCAAATAGGCACTCAAAATCCTGACTTTTAAATCCTATACTTGCAAAAAATCTGTGGTCATTTTGTCTCTAATTCCTTATTATTTGCGAGTCATTTTTGGGCCTTATTGGGAATAGGAGATCTGAAGTGTCATTTTCCAAGTTGGAAATGTTAACTGTTGCAATTATATGAATAAAGGGGGGGGGGGTAAATTCAGGGGGTATATTTCCCAATAACAAGAGGCAGATAGCCAGTGAATGCCCTGTATCTTACCAAACCAAAGCTGAATATAAAACTCATTTTTTTTTCAATTCTCTTTCCTTCGGTGTTAGGAGTGTTTCTGATTCCCTACATTATGATGTTGTTTCTGGCTGGCATGCCCCTGTTCTTTCTGGAGACGGCCTTTGGTCAGTATGCCAGTCAGGGGCCGGTCACCATCTGGAGAGCCTGTCCCCTCTTTGCAGGTATGATGACTACTAACCTCCTGGATATTCAAAATGTATTTAATGATATTTAAAAAAGTTATAATGTTGTAGATTGTCAGAAAATTTGCGATGTAGTCTTGTGTAAATAATAACAAAAAGCAATGATTTGTGAGTGATTCCATAAATTTATGGTCCAAAATGCGACATTTTTCCTGTCCCTGCTACTCTGTAATCTGCCATTCAAGCATCATAAAGAACGACTCCAAATGATTTTTAGGTAGTTTGCTATTCAATATGATAATTATAAAACCATAGTTGTAACAGGGACAAGAAAATAAACAGTGGACCTAAATTTATAGCATGATCCTTGTGGAAGCCAAGAATTTTTTGGCCAAAACTAGCTGTTTTGCAAAGCTGTAGGCCTATCCATTTTTCTGCAAAATTGTTCTTGTATCCTACATAATCAATGCAATCTTGGCTGGCAAAATCTTTATGATTTTTTTTTTTGCGAAAATAAAGGTCAAATTAAAAGTGGTTTCCTTTGATGATGTCTTTCATTAGACTCAGTGATAGGCAAAGTAGTGTCTAAGTCATACAGACTGTAGGAAATGAAGTTAATGTTTATCCCGTTGACTTCATGAGTGTCTCTCGGCAAGCTGGGTATCATAGCCAGGGTAGAGTGATTTTAGAACCAAATTTAATTTGGGAGCCGTGCCTTGTCACTAGGAGTCAAACTCTTCCAAGTGTCCTAGTAACACTGAAATTGTTTCCATGGACGTCAATTTCCCTTTCTATTATAACCTCCAATTTCATCCTCTTGAAGTTGGATTTCTCCTCCTGCTTTTTATTTAAGAGGTTAGATTTTGACTCCTTACAGTGCAGTTTCACACTCTGGGTTTATGGGATTAAAAGAGTGATTTATAAAATGAGGCAGTTCAAAATGTGACCAGGGGAGCAGGCTCTTCAAGTTTGAGATGGAAATATACTGCTTTTATTCCTCAGTGGCCGCATGGCAGCAAAGCACAGCCAGCGCTGTAAAACCTTCTTTAAATCACAAGACTTTACAACATGCGTGTGCTCTTGTCCGTGGCTAACACAAGACTGAATCAAGCTAATCTAAACCACAGGATCCCTTCTTAAAATCACAAGACTTTACAACATCTGTGTACTCTTGTTAGTGGCTAACACAAGACTGAATCAAGCTAATCTAAACCACAGGATGTTGGCCAGTGCCTCACATTCATGGACAAACCACCCAGGGATCAGAAATAAACAGAGCTAATTAGGGGTGATAAAACAAAGTAACTAGTGTAGAAAAGCTAGAGTCTATCTAATGAATAATAATGAGCTAGAAACAAAGTCTCCAGTCTAGACCATACGGTCAGGCCTCCTGCCTGGAGTTGATTACTGTACTTTTCCAGAAACTTGGAATGTGTGGCTGACCATGGCTGACCCACCCAGGGCCAAAGGATAGATTTTCTCACAGTGGTCCTTAAAGAGAATGTACAACATGAGCTTTTGCTGCAATTTTCAGAAATAAATGGATTTGGAGGATTAGTATGTTATAGCAAACACTGTTAAACTGACTTGTTTCACCTTTTGGGCTTGTTTATGCTGGAAAAACCAAGAAAACCAATCATGTTCTTGTAGTCTGGTTCCCCGACCCCACTTAAAACGAAACGGAGAAATTGTAAGGTCAAAGAATCACTCTAGTAGGTTTGTACCCCTTCACAGGTGTGTAATCTTTTGCAAAGAAAATGCGGAATAACTAAATATGAAAAAATAGGAGCAGTTTTTGAGAAAAAAAAACAGTTTTTTTCCAACACTGGTCGGCCGACCAGCGTTGGAAAAATACTATTTTTCTTGAAATGTCAGCACACCAGGAGCCATGATTTTACAGGATGCTTTAGACTGTCAATCTCTAACAATTTAGTGAGGTATTTCGTGATAATTTGATCATTTCGTATTTTGATGTTTGCAAATCTTCCCTTTAAATGAACATGTACATAAAACAATGAAGATAATAATAATTTCAATACTTGGAAAATGCGTGAACATGAAAACAATCCAAAACTTGTGAAAAAGCAATCCCACGTACCAACTATTGGGATATAAAACGTTAAGTAGAAATTGGAAAAACCAAAGGGTGCCAAAAAAGATCTGATTAAATATGCTTAAAATATTTCACCCGTTACAAAAAGAACAACATTTAAAAAAAAAAAAAATTTAAAAAAAGGGTAAGCCAAAAGAGTAATTTTACAATTGATGTTCAATAACATAAGAAGTGTGTTGTTGTAAGTGAAATACAGTCCTCTATTGTTGAACGCGTTCGGTCAGATATCATTCAAAATTATGAATTAGGCATTCTGCCCAAATTTCCCACGTGCTGTGAGTACAATAGCGCTGTACAAAATTAAAGATGCAAGATATTTATAGAATACAAATTACTCTCACAAGTTGACTCCATTGTTCACACGTATCTCATAGAGAGGGTGGCCTTTTATCCATTCACAGCGTGCCTCTGGTAGTCAAACAAGAGTATTTTCTTTCCTTTCTTAAAAAATCACCCCTCGCCAACCTTGCTATTGAATTTTTTCATTCCCAAATTTAATTTAATACCATCAAGAGCTTTTATTAACATTTGAATAGTTAAAAAATTCATGATTTATTTTATGCAGGTTTTTATGCAAGCACCAGTTTACATTGTTTGTAAGAAATGCATAAATGCTACATTTTAAACTGATAAATTATTTAAACTGAGTAACTTCACCTATTGAGAAATGATTTGAAAAAAAACCATGATTTGTAATAGATTTTTATTTTTTTTTGTGAAAAAGCATTTGAAGATGTTTAAAAGAGGCATTAATCAAATGCTCCTAAGAAATTTAGGTGCACTTTCTTCAAAAATTTCTGAACATTTTTACCCTACATCTTTAAGCAATTAATTCATACCAGTGTTCTGGTTGAATTCTTCCAATCGTGAATGTAGGAATGCATTCTCCCTTTCCCCAATTAATGATGGGACACACATCTGTCATCTTGTGTTATTTCTCTGGGTTTAATAAAGCAGAAAACTACAATCAGTCCGCTCTTTCTGAAACAGTGAAATGAGGAGTAATTTTGGAGCTCCTTTAGCTGCAGGGGTATTGCCCCGGCTTCCTACCGCATGCTCTACTTGGGAACAGTAATATTGGAAGGATTCTTCATGCTGTCGTTTGCCTCATATAAGTGAGGACGCACTGATTATGAGTTGATCACATTTTCCAAATAATAATGAGGATATAGGGATGATAGTTATCCCACAGCAGTCGATAAATCTCAGGATGAATGAATGTCCTCTTTTAAAAATGATCAGAGTCTTTCAAGCAAACTCTCAAATGTGTTTATAAAACTTGGCATAATGTACAATCTTTAATGATTTTTATTTTTACTCTGTTGACTGTTCGTTTGATTAAAACAGAATTTTGGGGATTGTGGGCATAAAGGAGCACTGGATTTGGCCAAATGCACATTAATCTGAATATTTGTATAAAAGTTCATTTCCTGTATAGTTTGATTATGATGACCTATATCAGGAAGGTCAACAACAGTAAGAAAGGGGCATTGTAAGAGCCCAACAATTTATTGAATGCGACTGTTTCTAACTTGCTGGGTACAAAGTATGAGTCTGTGTTGACACTCATGTGCCGAGTGGTGCCAAGTATTTTGTACTCTTATCAATAATTGGGAGATCTATTGATAAGCGGACTGATTTACAAATTGACATTTTGGCTGGGAATGGTGGAATGACGTTGGCTTTTATGCAAGGTTTCATTCTGATCGTGCTGATGAAACAAACAACACAAGACAAACCTAGTAAAGCTGGTCCAACAGTCCACAAAATTGTATTCAACGGAATGGCTATTCGTTGGATGTCTTTGCATACATCTGTATACAAAATGGGCTAGATTTAGCCAATGCATTGGCATTGGAGGGGAACCCAATATGATAGCACTGCCCATCTCAAAAGTGACATTCAATCAGTCAGTCAATCAGGGAATGGGACCAGCAAATATGCACTTCATTAATGAAATCATAAATTGTAACCAATATTTTGGGTGTCCTACTTACAATAGGTATAGGCTGGGCCATGGTCATCATATCCGCCATGGTGGTCATCTACTACAACATCATCATGGCGTGGACGGCTTTCTTCATCTTCAAGTCTTTCACCCTGGAACTACCCTGGAGTAACTGTGACAATGCGTGGAACTCCGACAACTGTGGGTATGCAGTGCCGCCCAACGGCACCATGCTGAACGGGACGTGGTTGAACCAGACTATGGTGGAGATGATGAATATGAGCATGCCTAACAGATCAGTCACACCAGCTGAGGATTACTGGAAGTAAGGAACACAAACAGTCCCAAAATTACTCCAATAAAAGATTCAGACTCTTCAAAAATCCACGACAGAATATTTAAAGACCCTGACAAACTGTGTTTAAAAAGTAAAATTAAAAAGTCTTGACATTTGAAAATTAACCTTTTCAAATAAAACAGTTACCGTTTAGAGAAAGCCCGCTTTTATACGCTACCATTTAAATTAAAAATATACTTTTTTCCCCCAGCCAAAAATGTCCACTGAGCTCACACTTCCACATTACATAACTGAAGTGGAAACCTAGATATTTTGAAACCAGTGTAAATATTGAGTAATGGTGTTACAAAATTCACAGAATACAGGTGTATGAAAGTGTCAATGACGCACTTTGGGCCTTAAAATAAGATTGTATGAGTTTGTATCCCAGCAGGCTAGGATTTGATTAATTTTATTCCGATTTCTTCATTACCATGAGACCAGCTGGCACATTCAGAACGGCTTTGAAAAGTCAAGGCTAGCCTCATGGCAGCTGTTTATGGAGACCACTAATTGATTAATGGATTCTTAAAAGAAAATGATTTTCAAAATTTCATTAAATTTTCTGAGTGGACAAAAGAGTAGCCTATTGAATTAGAAAAGCTTGATATCCAAGAGAATTCTTCAAGAGATCTCGGAAGGAAATGGTCGCAGAACAAATTGAAAGTTCTGATGATTCATTCTTGATCAAAAATTAAACTGGGAAAACGGACGGGGGAAATAGTGTTCAAGTCAGTCAGAAGCATCTGTCAATATTGCATATATTTGACTTCCAGTCTGGTATCACGACTTCTCAATGAGTTGTATGCATTTCTATTGCAGTAAGATTGTATTGGACAAGAGTGAAGGAATAGATGATTTGGGACCAGTCCGGTGGCAGATGGCACTCTGTCTTCTTCTATCCTGGGTTGTTGTCTTCCTATGCATCTGCAGGGGTGTCAAGTCCTCAGGAAAGGTATTAAAGGCTAGATTTGTACTTTGTCTTTGCATATTGTGCAATACACTTATGATCATTGCAATAACAGAACTTTGGTCCAATCTTCAACGGGACACAAAGGGGGGGGGGGCTATGAACCTGGAGGTGAACTTATGGGTTCTTTCATTGTTTCAAATGTTACACAGTTGGTTTGTTTTTCTTTCTCAAAATTGTCAAGAATGTTGTGGAGTGTGGAGAATAAGGGAATACATTGCTTCTTTCTTTCTTGGGGGGGGGGGGAGGGGGTGGGTGGGGGGGGGGTGAGGGGGCTGTGCCCCTCTTGGACCAATGACACTCCACTGGCTTATTGACCGAGTAAACACCAAAACCTACCAATTTGACATCACTGATAGACTCTGTACACAGAGGTATCGACCAGCAAATACTAAAGCTTGGCACAAATTGTAACGAACTTGTTCTACAAGCTTAAAATGCAAAACCAAATATTTATTCAGGGGCAACTTTTTCCCCGGTATGGACTAAAAATAGATGAGAAGGGCTTTGAAGTAATGCCATTAAGGAGGTTGTGTGTTTGAAAAGGGGCGGCTTGCGCGCCATGTAATCATTAAACCAGTCGGTCACGTTATAATCTGACGCTTCACTCAGATTTATGGCGCTATTACATTACAAAGTTCACTTGACAAAAGACACTTTAACTAAACGATAAATCACCCTTATAAAAAAAACACACACATTCACAGTACAATAGCAATTTCTCTGATGCATTAATACAGCTCCAAACACATTTTTGTTTTCACAAATCCTTGCTGTTTGCAAAAAAACGCTCTATTAAAATTTCTCTGTAGGTGAAAGAGTGATGATCTGTGCACATCAATCTTTCATGTTTCCATGGAATGACATAACAAAATGAATTCCATGACATTGCGCTATTAAAAATCAATTTTAAAACCTTGTTCAAATAAACAATATTTCAATTATCTTGTAGGCACACAGAAATGCCAGTTTTGTTAAAAAGAAAACCCGCTCACAAAAAAATATTCGTTTGATTAAATTTATCACGAAGGTGCTGCTCACTTCGTTGATGAAAATTAAATTACAGCATTTATAATTTTTCTCTCTTCTCACTGACTAAATTACTAGAGTATTTTGTATTATTCATTTATAAAAATAGCTATGTACCTGCACACGAAGTGTTTATCTTACAAAATTTACAGGCCATTTCAAAAACGAGACAAAACAGCCCTGGATTTGTTCTTGTGCCAAAATTTAAAGATATGTATACAGGTATGGCCATGTTCCGGTAAAAAAGACAATATTATATCAAGTAACCATCGGCAAGACAGCCTGATTCTATAAAGTGACTTTCACTGCATGTTGGAGGTGTGAGCATTCAAGCATAGATCAAGATGATTTGTTCTGCGTGCTTGGGTGCTGCGTTTAAGCACTGCAAGAGTAATTTAATCAACGGGCGGTGAGGCTTTACCGGAAACCCAAATTTCATCCTGATGCTGATGAAGAGAGAGCATGTTCATCAAACGAGCGAGATACGATTGCTGTTTACAACCAAGTGTGTCATAGTAGCACTGGAGTTTGCATGTGGAAAACATCTTTAAACATGAATAGGAAATGTACAAAGTAGGACTGCATTTAGAGAGAAAAACCAAATTGGCAGGTCAAATGTAAAAGATGGAAAGGCAAGACGAATTGTAACGAATGGACTGCACTAATGGTTGCAAATGGGTGAGAGAGGTTAGATTGAGAAACTGGGAAGGAGGGAGTAAGATTGATGAAAGAACTATTAAACAAGGCTGGGGATGCTTGCAGAGTACTAAGGAGGCAGTTCAGATTGATAGGAAGAGCGGTGCTAATAGAAAGACAAGACATTCATGTGTACCTTGAGACACTGACTGAGTGGTGTCGCACTTGTTTGCAATGTGGGCTGGAAGCCTGCCAAGGGACATTTACTTGTGTCCCTAAGCAATCCATATTGCCCCAATAAATTATTATTTTCCCAATAAATTATTATTTTCCAAAACTCTGAAATCTTCATTTCATCACTGATGTTTGTAAGGTTTCTCTGTGGTTCAGTGTTTGATACAACTTTGATTCGCAGTATTCCATTATGTGATGTTTATTCTTGCTTCATGATTATAGGTCGTTTACTTCACTGCAACCTTCCCGTACGTCATCCTCGTCTGCTTACTTATCCGTGCTCTGACACTAGAGGGAGCTAGTGAAGGCATCTGGTACTACATGAATGCTGACTGGAAGCTACTCAAGAACTCGAAGGTGAGACTTGAAGTAATCAAGATGATGTTGGGTCTTTCTTTAACATGTTGAGTCAAGATTTGGAGGTTCTTGGGAAGAAGTCTGTCTTTGAATAAAACAGCTCAAGGTTAAGATGGTTTCGAATTTTTTTAGTTTAAAGGGAATGTACATCAATTGGCTTTTGCTGTAATTTTCAGAAATGAACTATTTGAGGGGTTAGTATAATAGATCAAATATTGTTACACTGACATGTTTGAAGTTTTGTGTTCGAAAATGCTGGAGAAACCAAGAAAAACAAATATGTTCAAGCAGTCTGGTTCCCTGACTCCACTAAAGATGAAATGAATCAATTTATTGATGCCCGAAAATTGTAAGGTAAGGAAACCAGTCTAGCTGGCCTGCACCCGTCCATGAACATGTAACCAATAGCAAACAAAATTTGGACTGAAAAAAAGGTAAATTTGGAGCAGTAGTTGAAAAATAGTTAGGTTTTTCCAACGGTGGTCGGCCGACCACCGTAGGAAATTTATACAAAATACCACTTTTTTGAAAATGACTTCACACCAGGTGCCATAATTTTACAGGATGCTTTAGACTTTCATTTACCAACATCCTATTAAGGTATTTCATAAAAATTTGGTAGTTTTGTTTTCCAATGTTTGCGAATGTTGTATATTCCCTTTAACCTGAACGTAATTACACTTTCTAGCCCCGAATCTTCCTTCCTTTTAATTTTGGTTTACAGGATTATATCACCGACTAGTATAAAAATATAAAAAAAACCCAGAAATTTCTATAACTTCTTTGGTGACTTTCTTTTCTCTTTGGAAAGGTTTGGAATGATGCTGCCTCACAAATCTTCTACTCTCTTGGCCCAGCTTGGGGTGGTGTCCTCACATTTTCCAGCTACAACAAGTTCAACCACAACTGCTTCAGGTAAAAAAAAACTTAATCCAACATAACAAATGTTTGCCTTAATATTTTCTTTTCCTAAACGTTGTGCTCCTACAAGCTTCAACCACTTCAGGGAATCTTGAAATGGCCCCTAGTAGTGCAATGAGCAAGCAGTACATGCACAAGAAGATGTAAAACAAGATAAGGAAGTTTGATGAAACTTTAAATTGATGTTCTTTTTTTTTGTTTCAATACCTAGGGATGCAATCATGGTTCCCATCATCAACTGCGGTACCAGCATCTTTGCCGGATTTGTGGTCTTTGCAACGCTGGGCTTCATGTCAGTAAAAACAGGAATGGATATAAAGGACGTGGCTGTCCAAGGTAAAAAATAAAATTCTTCTTTGGTGATACAATTGATATTTTTGCTGTGTTGGCTTGAAAAACTGAATACTGAAAAGATGCACTAAACTTAGTGGTATAGTAGCTCCATTCCCCGTCCATGTTTAATACTCTCTATCATTTAAAGTGTAAGATAACCTCCTGAAGAACCGAACTCTGAATGCAACCATTGACCAATCAAATTACATGTAATTGTTTATTTCATAACTTTTAACCAATCAAATCTTCTGTACTGTAACTCTTGCATTTGGAATTGCATGCCAACATTGGCTCATTTTGGAGTGTGGCAACATTTGGACCAATCGCATTACATATGCTAATAATGTGACAACTTTTCACCAATCATATTACATATGCTAATGAGTGTGTCAACTCTTGACCAATCAGATCACCCTTAACATGTTTGTTTTGCATATTGCAGGTCCAGGTCTTGTATTTGTCACCTACCCTGAGGCCATTGCCCAGATGCCATTGGCTCCTCTCTGGTCCTTCCTCTTCTTCTTCATGCTCTTCCTTGTCGGATTGGACACACAGGTAGGTCATGCTGGCCAATCACACAACAGGAAATGCAGTCACATGTTTTCCACTGGTCAATGGCAGCATAGTTGAAATTGATGGCTGTACCCTTTGTGCAATAGAAGTGTAAGAAAATTATGAACTTTAGGGCATGTTTAAGAAAAGGTTGATGAATCAATTCATATTTTGTGTTTGAAAAGGGTATACAATTAAACACTTTGAAAATTAAATCAGCGGGAAAGCTTTTTTTAATGAGTAAGTATCCTGTATTAAATGTAGTATTTTCTGTTTTACAACTGAACATACACTATTGAGGTTATGCCTTTGGGATGTATATTTCCCAACACCAATCAATATCTCCATTCCATAGTCGTTTTCCTCTTTTTAATTTTTCCTGCCAAAATCTCTGACCTTGATGACAAAATATTCATTATCACCACATTCCGTGGTGTGACAACTATTTCTTCCATTCCCACTTACCATCAGGCCCATGTTGACAGACCCAGCAGTTTAATCACAGCATCCGTGCTGACTGGTTGTTTGTTTTTCCTACTGACAGTTTGGCATGACAGAAACTGTCATCAGTGGCTTCATCGACCAGTTTCCTGACCATCTCAGGAAACGGAAGACCCTGTTTGCTCTTGGCATCTGCTGCTTGTTCTTCCTCTTGGGGTTACCTCTGGTGACAAGGGTAAGAAACAAGAACACTAGACGATGGATTGCACCCCAGATCACATACCAGTAATAAGTAAATGATTATTACCCCTGATCATCAGGCTTATAAAGAATTCTTGAAATAATCTCCCCTCCACTGTGAACGAACCATTTAATTGCTGTCATTTTACTTTTGATTGAAGGTTTTGCATTGGGAGGTGTAAATTTAAATTCAGTGTGTGGCCTGCACTGAGGCTATATGTTCAATGCTTTCCAAGAGTGGAAGAACCAAAAACTTACAAATTTACTATCACAATGGTTTGTAAGACATGTATTAATTTTTTTTTTTTCATCAGGGTGGTATCTACGTGTTTGAGTTGATCAACTGGTATAGTGCTTGGATATCTCTGATGATCGTTGGCATGACAGAATGCATCGCTATAGCCTATTTCTATGGTCAGTATCAGTAACCAGTCATATGATATCCTCACAGTCAATAAGTACGCTCATTAGTGTGCTACTTGCAGTACATTCTATCCTATCTGTGCATGATCTGTTGAGGGCACTATTGCCTGATTCTTGCTGAGAGAACAGAAAAGCCTAAATATAGTGTTTCCAAGTGTGATGCATGAGTGATGTTGCCAAGGTAATCATTAATCTTCTCTGGTTGGCCGACTTACAGGCTTCCGGCGTTTCATCGGTGACATCAAGAAGATGTTGGGTTATGAGACCGTGTTCTGGTGGTGGTACTGCATCTGTTGGCTTTTTGTCACACCGGCGATCATCCTGGTAAGTGTGCAGAACCATTATAAGCAAAAAAGTTGTTTCATAGACACTTCAAATTAAACATTCAACAATTTTTTAACTGTTAACGAAATAATTAAGCTAAGCAGTCCTTTTCCATCTGTAATAGCAACTGCATTTCAAGTAATTGACTTTTTGGATGCCAACGCTAGCTAAACAGTCAAAAGAGGGTACTTGAAGTAAAAACAAGTAACAGGCCTTTTACAAAAGATGTGAAAGATTAAAAAATAAAAAAATGGGAAGATCAAACTTTAAATGTATAATCATATGAGATCTTAAAAAAAAAACCAGACTGAGCACAATGAGGCAGAGGTTTGGTTTGATCAATAATAATGTAAGAATCGCACGTTTCTGCTATTATTTTATTGAATTTATTACTTTCTTTTGTGGACAGTTCATCATTGGATTTGGTATCTACGAGTACCAACCAGTCTACTATGGTACTTACAACTACCCACCATGGAGTGAGGCTCTCGGCTGGGTCATGGCGTTCATCGCTCCTACAATGATTCCTGTCTTCATGGTCGTCAACTTCCTCAAGTCTGAGGGAAGCAACATCATAGAGGTACATGATTTGTTTCAGTTTGTCAGCCAGAAGGGCGTTCAGTTGTAATACGAATGCTGTGCCAAATTTGAGCGATTTTTAAACTTCACAATTTTGTATTCTTAACAAATTGAGTTTTGGGTAATTTTTGTTTTACATGGCTAAAAGTCAGTACAAATGAACTAGTAGCACCGCGTGCCAGTGAGGACGAGTGGAGGTCATAGGCCGCAGAAGGGGGAGGGGGAAGTATCCCTCCCCCCCCCCCTCCAACACTTAAAACTTGTTCATTTCTCCGCCCACCTTTGAATCCCTCTAGAGTGACGAGATACAACCCCCACCCGCCACCCCTTTCAAAAGTGTTTCGCCACCATTTCCGGAGGTCATACCTTGACTGGTTCATGGGGGCCGAGAAATGCTGGTGCACAGAGCCCAGATTGACTCATTCTGATATTGTTTCTCCTTTGTGGTTTGCAGAAGTTCAGCAACGTCATCAAACCAACCAAGGAATGGGACCTGGCCCACGGCACCAGTCCGGAAACCAACCCAGCCCAGATGCCACTGACCCAGTACAAGATGGCTACCACTATGAACGGTACAAAACCAGGACAAGCTGTATAAAAATAAAATGCACATTCTATTTGACCTGAGCAGAACCATAGAGGGCACTATTTCAGTCTTTTATGTGAATATTCCATGACGCCACAGGACATATGGTAACAAGGATCTCTTTATGTTCATATTAAATATCGGTGGATTTTTTTTTGTTTTCTGTTTCAGCTGACCCGAAGGTATAGGATGCTATAGAAACTTTAGTTATTTTTTCAAAGTGTGTTGTACAGGGAACATTTGCCAGTTTGTGAAAACAGCAATGGAATAATATTCATTTTTGTTAAACTTTCTGTAAAAAATGCGTTTAAAGGTGTTTTTAAGGTAATCGTGTATCATGCAAGTTTTATGAGCCCAGTCCAACAGTATTGAAATATAAATATTTTGCCAGTTATTTGTAAAAGCTGTTGTTTTCACTGTACAGTGTTTTATTACTTATACCATAAGTTGTAAGTTTGCCTTACAATGATGCAGGCTTATCCACAATGTAATGGACATTTTGCTTTTAATTTTTTTCAATACAAATTAGTTCTCCATGGAGCAGGTCAGAAACTGGCTCTTTATCGATTCTGCAAACACTGATAAATTACAAGAACAAAACATAGGCAAACTTATTAACACCTTGGCTAGGTTTCTTCAAGTCACTTATCAGAAATTAATGTGTAGCAAGTTTTTCCTGCTAAAGACAACCCATAATAAGTAGTGTAAATGGCTGGTTACATTTGTTTTGAAACCATTTTCAAAGCAGCTGCCGCAAAACCTCTATCTTTCCGCTAGTTGTTTACTCAAGGATATTGATGGCCTGTTTTTAGGCAGTCCTTTTTAAAGGGCAAGGCCATTTACACTTTATAAAGGGTACTTCCATTAAAAATCTTTAAAAATATACTTGTAAGAGAAGCATTCCATCATTGAAAAAACATTTTGTATTGTTCCTTTTCATTTTGGAAGTTTTCTAGGACAAAAAAAAGTTATATTCAATAAAGAAGGGAAAGGACATAGTATTGAATTGTAAAACAAAAACAACACTAGAAAGAAGCAATAGTTTGAAGCTGATGATGTGTGTGTGTATATGTACATACAAGTATTCTATATGTAGATGCAAAAACAGCTTTACAAGAGGAATGAATGAACGAAAGTAATAATGTCATGTTGACAGTTAGACTAGAAATAAACAATCTCTAGAATATGCAAGTAAGAATTTATGTGCAAGAATGATTAAGCAGTAAAGAACACATAAGAATGTTTAATTAAAAACTGAAAATGTATCAAAATAAGGAGTTTTGGGTGAACAAGATCTGATTGTTGACTTTCTCATCAAGGAACGGATTATGAAACTTCAGGAAAGCTTCAGGAAATCTTTCTGTTGCAATTAATGATCACTAAAACTGAAAAATGTGAGCAAAATTTAGTCTTCTACAAAGTCACTTGATCAAATTCCTTTATTTTGAGATATACATGCTCACCGGTATTCCTTAAACCCTGTAAAAAGCCATCCTCTGCCAAAAAATGTAATATTTCTATTATAAGATTAATGGTATGCTGGTGTGGGTGTGTTTGCGTGTGGGTGTGAGCTGCAATTCGGATGCAAGTTAATGTCAACTGAAAGTTAAAACAACAAAAATACTAAAAACTGAAATTAATAACTGCGACCAGATAACACTAGTTGTATATTGTGGCAAGTATTTTTTTTTTAAAGCGTGTTCTGTATTCCATAATGAAATGTGTTACAGAGACACATGATCTTGATATCCGTTACGTCTGAGAACTTGGGACAATGGGATACCTACAATGACAATAACCATGATGTCCTGAGCTGAGGCCAAGTCTTCAGGAGGTTTTCATGTACAAACCATATGGGATGTGTAGAGAAAAGTTGAAGTCCAAACAATAGAAAGGAACATTATAAGGTTCTTCATGAGTACATTGTAAACAGTAGTGGATCCAGAGGGGGGAGGGCCCCCCCCCCTGCCATTTTTTTTTTTTTTAAGTGAGATACGTCTTGTCTTTTCCCATTTCTGCTGCTGTCAACTGGTTATTTAAGCACATATATGTCTCGCTTGTATGCCAGGGTTACGCCTCCATTTGCCCCCCCCCCCCCCCCCCCATGCTGGATCCGCCACTGCATAATAAAACATGACTGTGTGTATATTGAATATTGAAATCTGATCACAGTTGGGCTTGTTTAAAAATTGATGTTGCATGTGTAGAAATTGTAGTTAGTTGAAGGTGACTGGGCATTTTCCCTCCCACAACATTGATCATTTTAAATATCCAAACATAGTGCATCACATTAAAAAAGAAAAGTCTGGCAGGTGTTCATGGTACATTCCTGACTAAAATAAATAATGTTCTTCATTTATTCATTGTATTTCCTGACACACAATGGAAATACATGTGGTGTAGACAAGGAGCGGCACTGTAGAGTGCTGAAGAGAAATACATGGGAAAAATAACTGTTATGTGATAGCTAGAGGTGATGTGATACACCGTGCCCTCTGGAGACATGCACACAATAGGGAACAAAAGATTGTATACGTCTCCACAGGGCAATTTCTATAGATGAATATGTCTCCACAAGGTTTTCACGAAATAGATATATGGATTATACTAAAAAACTAGAAATTAGTTTCCAAGGTATGTTGATCTGTCGCAAATGGTAGAGTTTTAGAAAAGGGATATTAAGTCCGAATTTCAGCCAAGGAAATTAATTCTGGTTAAAATAAGAGCATTTTGAAACTGTACTTTCAAACTTGAAAACTTTAGTACACGAGAACAAAGAAATGTCTCCACAAGGATACAAATTCCAGTAGAGGTGTGTTTGTGTGTGAACTATGTACATTGAGCCAAATGTATCTGCATAAGTTGTATGGAAAAATTGTAAAAAAAAAAAAAAAATTGTATAATACAGTTGAAGCACAAATAATTGACGAAGCAAGATCAAAGCTATAAGAAAGGAGTGTAAGAAACTGTACAATAGACAATATTTGTCAGAAAATTGCAACTGTAAAGATTTATGCATTTCTTGTCCATATTTTATCCCAATGTGTGGCACGAGAATATGTCTATATCATTTGAAAATACACAGAAAAAATGTTATAGGTAGGTAGTAATTAAGAAGAAATATATTAACCAAGTATAGAAAATGTTGGTGTTGCGTCTATTATTTGAGGATGCTTTGTCTTTTGCTTTATATTTATATTCTTGAGAAAATGAAGTTGTCATCATGGCAAGATGAACTATACATACATGTGCAGTCACAAGTACAGCACTTACAAATAAGATTTACCAGAATGAAAACTGATGGAAGTGTGCCCTGAATGGATTTTCTGTTTCCATTAATAAAATTAAAATATCTCAACATTATCCAACCTATCGCGGTAGAATTGCGTCAACGCAGCTTGTGAAATATTGTCCAATTACATGATAGACAAATGGACGTGGAACGCGCAAAATCTGAGACAAGCAAAACTTAACGTACAAATTGCGCAGGGTTGTCTAAGGGGCGTGGCTAACTTGCAAACGGTGATAGCTCAATTATGCATCCCTAGTTGCACCATGTTAATCACATAAAAATACAAGTGAAACAAGACTTTAAAAAATTCTACCACACTTTTATTGATGACAACTAGGGAATGTATCCATTTACAAATATTTGTATACACATAAAATGAAAAGTTAAAACCTAACAAACCATTGTCAAGTCAAATACAATGAACCCACTAGCCCATCTTGGAGAGGCTGGTGCCTTACAAAACTGAGCCTTTTACAATGAACTTCGTTCACAAGGTGCCAGACTGACATGTCTTAGGCATTAAAACAAACCTAAGAAAACATATATTAAAGGTGCTACATGCTGAGTTTCATAACGTTGCCACAAGCCTAACATACAGTTTGCAAAACATAACTGATGTGAAAATAAGTAAATGAACCCCAAGAGGGCGCTATTCTGAGCACAGAGCCATGTGGTTCTTGCGTGGCAAGAATGCCTTTACACCGTGTCAAAAACACTAAAAAACAAAAAACAATTCAAAAAACGGATGTGCTTCAAAATTACAATAATTTCACAATATTCTTACTTACACATGTTATAAGCTTTTAAAATGTTCATACCTTCTTAACCATTTTCACAACGATAAGTAATTTGTCAATCAATTGTAAGTAGTTGAACCTCTTATAATTTCAAGCATTTAATGACATTGATATCCAGTCAATGTAATATACAAGGTAATATATGTTAAGAGAACAAGTATCAGACACAAACCAAACAATTCCTGTAAATTCTGTAACTTTTGAATGAAAAAATTCTGATGAAATATTGAACCAAAAATTAATTATAATACATTTTAACCATACAGTTATTCTACCATATCATAGAGGTAAACAGATACCCTTTCAAGATTTCCAACAAACCACCGGAAAAAAAGTTAAAAGCAGGAAAGACAGTGATGCAACACAACTCCTTGCATCTCTAAAAGATATACAGCAAAGCAAGCAAGCATTTACAGTACAGCGAGCGTAATGTACAACAACGCATGATAAGGGACGGTTACAAGTGCATTTCGACCAATGACACAAGCTTACTCCAAGACACAAATTCTAATTGGTCGAATCCGAGTTGTTCAAACTCAAATTCCTGCAGCAAACAGACGTCTTCATCTTCTGGGTATATTGTGAGCCACAACAATGCACTTTTTCTGATTGTCTTTTTTTATCGATGGCAGGACGGTTTAAAAAAATGATCTCTCAGGAACTCATAAATCATTTCGAATCCTTCAAGAGGATAGTCACAAATTGTTGCGTTAGTCCAACAGCATGACAGTCAACTGTCAAATCCTGGCAAAAGCAACAGGCATTTTTTCCAGCTTTTTTGTAAAGTTTTTAATACTCTTTGAAAAAGCAAAATTAAAAAGTCTTCATTTTGATGTTGGATTTCCAACAACATTGTAAATTTGTAAACTCGTTCGGATCTAGCCAAATTGTTTGTTATATCAGAATTTTGTATTAAGAGGAACATCAGTCCCATTCATTGTGCATATAAATGCACAGTCGGGACCAAGGCTTTATGTTTGTTATAACCATAATTTTGTATTAACAGAGTTTGTACTAACGAGAGTCGACTGTACTTTTCTACTCTTCTGTGAGAGTAATGCTGCTTACATCAAGTCATTCTTGACATAATTTTCAAGTATACCATTTCTTAAACTGACCATTATGCTGTTGGACTGACGCAACCAACTTGGCGGATGATTACGTTAGTCCTAGAGTCAAGGGCTGGCCTGTGTAATACACAGAGACCAACCAGATCTTCAGTTATACCATCGATGTAGCGGGGACGGTAGGCCTGCAAGGCTGTTAACTCAAAGAGACGAAGAAAAAACATCCATCGTCTCAAAAAGTCACAGTATATGCCTGTTTCCAGAACATAATTTCAACAAATATAAATATGTACAGTTATCCAAAACACGCACAAAATCAAAGTAACACGTTTTTTTTTTTACAGAAGGCCATTTAAAAAAATATTCTAGCTTGCATATTCAGGTGGTATTTTTGAAACTTGAAGAACAAGTTGTTTTCACAATCAGGTTTTTTTTTCAATTCAAGATGAAAAAAACAGTATTTATCAATAAAATCAATGGACTGGGATATTTAGTGTTAATTTATCGTTCGTGATCAACATAATTTTTTTTAAATGGCCTATATCTAGAAGCTCTACCATTCTATCTATAGGGGGGTGTAACTAGGTAATTTCTAAACATTGCATGGAATTTCTTTTACAAAAACAAGCAAAACAAAGTAGAAATTGGTCTACAATTAAAACAGGAATTATCCTATAATACATTAGGAACCAGCGTAACATTACCACAACAGCACAGTTACTAAAATCAATGTTTAAAACATCAAATGGGAATTATACAGGAAAGATGGGAAAGGCTTGAAAATTTCACCAAATCACAAAATCCATTTATGTAGTCATATACATATAATACATGCTATCAGTCTGAGGTATGAACGTGTGGATTTAACCAACTTGTACTATCTTATATTTACGAACCTGTAATTTTGAACCCATAAGTAAATTACTTAAAAGTAATTACCCTTATTTTACAATTTAGTTGTAATGTATATATTTCAAGCAGTTTGTAAAATACTAATTAATAACTGTAGATTTTGAAACTGTACATTTGCTTGTAAACTACAAATAACGCATACTCTTTCATAAAAGCACCATAGGGCTATAAACTCTCCAGCTAACATCTCTTTAAACACTGCTTAATAAAAACATAAAAATGCAATCTCTCCAAGTATCACACTATTTACATGCAAACCTATCTATTGCAGAAACCCTGATATCTACAAGAACTCCGCTAAAATATATACAAGGATCGTCAAATTAAAATGAAAAAAATAATATGTCTTCAATTTCAATTTCAATTAAACCAACTATGGCACGGCACTATTTCTAGGGTTTATCAATTAACTAAAATTAACTATTTCATTCTCAAGGTAAAGACTATGAAAGCAACCAACAATTTACCTAATTTTTACTAATTTATGCAACTTTTAAAAAATACTTTCATGGTCTGATTGTTCTGATTGCAATAATCAGCAACGTTTACCAAAAAAAACTGAATGGTATTCAAATACTAATAAACTCATTCAGAATTTTACATTTTATGCAAACTACTATTTCCTGCTGACAGAATTTCAGTGCATGAACAATAACTTGTTTTTTTTTCTCCAAGAAATTACAAAGCACCCTCCCCTAAAAAAAAATTGCAATAGTTCAGATTGATCACAAAATAAATTCATGCTTGGCACTTGCTCTAATATAAATTATCTCATAGTATTCGCAACAGTTTTACTTTATAAATATCAATTTGACTTTTTTTTAAAAACCATACACGTAAGTGTAACAAACATTTGTAATTCATAATAAGTATGTTAGAAGGGAAATGTAGTACCTTTTGAAAAGGGGGGGTGGTAGCTTGGGGCTTAGAATGGAAAGGGAAATTAGAATATCAAAACAGTTATGAACAACATTTCAGAGTTTAAAATTTAAATATAATGCGACTGATTGTTCAAAGCATTATAATACAAACAGTACATATTTTAGCATTTCAATTTCATCTGTGTGCTACAAAAATCAACACAAACGTTGTTATTTACAACAAAATAAATCATACACAGCAAACATTTCACTAACAGTCTAAATAAAATTCTGTTGTAAAAAAAGTCCTAATTTTTAGATACATGGAATTTGTTCACATGAATTCTGTACAAATTTGTACCTATAAATTGTTTACTTTTTTTAGTTTGGTTTGGAAAAAAACCCAAAGACCAATGACCAATTTGCTGATGTCATGTATTGTTAATTTAATTGTCGAATTTTGGTTTCCTGGTAACCTGGTTTCCATGGCAACAATATACTCTGTATCTGATATCATGAGGTAATCAAATTCGTACTAGAGAGGAATATGGAATGCTCTTCTTCATCAAAAGAAATGACAATAGCTAACCGGGCTGTACGTGGACTCGTACAGTTTGTTATAACCCAATGTCATAGCCACCGCAGCCTGATGCTCCATAGCACTAGCTGATAACGACACGGGGACTTTTTCACTGGCCACACCATTGTGATGCTCGGATAGGTCCATTGTTTCTACACCACCATTCCCCAGAGGAGGTTCCATTTGCATAGCTGATTCAGATTGGTGTTGGGAATGGTTAGACCCCAAGTCAGCTTCTGTGTATCGAGATACCAACTCACTGGACTGCAGCTTCTTGGGGTCTGTGTCTTGTGGGCGGGGCGGGTGCATGCAAGAAATGGGCGTGGCTTGGGTTCCATTACTGCAGTTGGGATGAGGGGCGGGGTCACCTATGGAGGGTGCGGACAGACCATTTGAGGTCAGAGAATCTGTAAGGAGATTGGGAGAATCTGGATTTAATGAGGTCTTGACTTCAGCGGAGTTGATGATGCACTACTGTGTCACTCAGAAATGGATGGTGTGTCATCTACAACTACATGTGCATTATGTTGAAACAATTACAGCTACATATGCAGTGCCAATGATCAGCATGAATGGAAATGGGCCAAACTGCCACCACATGTCAAAATGTAGAAAACATCTATGTGCACATGTGTATCTTGTCAGTACAAATCAATTTATCAAATGTGGGTGTGGTACCAAACATGACTAGTGCTGCTTCAATACAATACAAAGTGAGGATGCGTAAGCAGGATGTACTAATTGAAGTAATACCAAGAAGTGTGTCATAACTGATGACATACAAGTTAATCCCTGGGCAGATTTAAACTTGCACTAGATGATAAGAGCTACTTGGAGGAATCTGCAGTAGAAACTGATACCATCTTGCAGTGGACACAAAACGATGTCTTGGAGAAACACAGATTGCTGAAATTGTCTGGGAAGCAGGGGAATTTGGAAAGGCATAGGAGAACAGTTTCTTAGACATACTGTCCATTCAAGACATCCAATCTGCAGCAATGGAAACCAATCTATTTGATCTATTATCTCAGTAAGTTTCTAAACACTGAAACGTGTTTTGGAGACATTAATGAGAATCCCTCAGACCAACATACCACTTCACCAACAAGCCACCCACGCACCAAATACAAAGATGCGATCCTTCTGTTACCATAGCAACCAAACTACCATCACTCCCAGCAACCAAACCCCCGGAGATGCTAAGAGCAATCACAGGTAGTGGCCCATGAGCGCCCGACACTTCCTGGTCACTTGCTGCCTGGGCACAGAACACTGCATGAGATAATCCTCAGACTGACCAATCACACCACTGGCTTGACCATCACCTTGACCATTCAGTTGACCTTTGACCCCATCCACAGGAAAATGCTGACCGAATAGTCCATTACGTTGGGCGTTGCCATTGGTCATTTCCATGTCTGAAGGTAAAGACATTATTAAAAGTGGAAGGAAAAAATGGAAAACTACTAAGTTTTTTTACGGAAACTAAATTACACAAATATATTTCATCTATGTACAATTTTACCCTGTATTTTAACAGGAACAAATTACAACAGATATGAAGTATCAATGACGCATACAGTTTGCACGTACACTTGCTTTCATTATTTAGTCGACTGACCAAAACAAATGTCTGGATATCCTGCTTGCTAGTATAACAGCAGAGGACTTGATCATCCAATTCACCTGTGCCAACCGTGAAAATCCTAAGCTTTTAAAATGTACAGCTTCGATATGTATACGTCTACCACACCTAAAACACAAGCCTTACAAGTTACAGATAAATTTTTTTCAAGATGTCGCATATCCACAACACAGCTTCTGACTATTTTCATAACTTTCATTGCAGATCCTAGAAAAACAGGGGATATCTCCATCCCTTTTCTCTCGCAGATAATTTCCTTGAGGTCGTTGCCATGGTTTCTGGAGGCAATCTGGTGGGGCTCCCTCTATCTCCCCCACGGGCAGAATCTGTCATTGTGACATGATTGTCCTCTTTGGTTGCTATGGGAACACTATCATCTACATTCATTTCTGATGCAGATGCTGCCGTTTCTGATTCCTGGTTTGAAGCTATTTCTTCAACGGAGGTCCGTTGGCAAGCTTGGAGGAACAAAGTCAGGGTAAAGCCGGTTGACTTTTTGTTCTTTGTGGTGAAATTTTAAGTTTGCTTCCTCAAATGTTTACTATGATCACATACAATGGACAATGTTCGCATGCATACCGAGTACCAACAAATGAACAAAGACCAGCACATGCACTGTGAAATACTGAAATGAAACAAAGCTTAGGATTCCAAAATACGAACTTTCAAAGTTTTTGTGGTCATATAAATACTGCCTCCCCCCCCCCAAAAAAAAAGGTGTGACATCAAGCAACTAGTTATACAAACGTGTATAATCCTTACCCCATTTGGGTTTATCTTGGCATCCTTCTAAACGTAACCAAATCTAACACGAAACAACTACATGCACTCAGATCGACAAGGTCTAGAAGATATATATGCCCACTACTGGATTTTGCATGGTAAGGTTAAAGTTGACAGTATTACAATCTCACACATGCAGATAAAATCTGGGGGTCTTACTCTCTGTTCCGTTGGAGTGTTTGCCGTTGAACGCAGGTTGTGAATCCATCCCGTCCTCTGTTCTGGCCTTCTTCAACTCCCCGTTTGTGATGTCATCGGTACCTCTCTTTCTGCCCAGGTCACGCTTTGACGAGAAGCCATTGGTAATATGTGGGGGGCCCTCAACCTGCTGGATGTACATCGCACAGGATTTGTTGTTGCAGGACAGCGCCAGGTCCTTGGGCATATGGCCATTGTTGTTGGCTATCCTGAAATTCAAATGTGTTAAGATATTCATAAGACTGTATATTTATGACTTGAACTTGATACACATTTTGGATTAATATGGGCTCCGTGCACAGGTACCCCCTCACCGACAAGAAGGGGAGAGTTGGGGGATATCACTTGGAGTGACATTCGAACGCATTTTTGATGACGCCTGACAAACCGGTACCTACACGCTTCTCTTTTGTTGATGCACGAAGCCCATTGATTCATAAACTTTATTGGTCTCTCTGTGATACATACCTGAACATTGCCCCGTTGGCTTTGAGGATTCCTAGGCATTCCAAACCACCACTTCTTGCTGATTTATGGGCTGGGGTTTCACCAAGGTAATCCTGCGAAAAGCAAACGAATAATTGACAATAGATACAAAATGTAGCATTAGGCCTACTCATTCTTTTTGAAAATAATCAAAACTCATTGATTTCTGCAAATGCGTAAAAAATAAACAATTGTTCACATTTACCATATATGCTATTTTGTATTTTGCAAATGTTTTTAATTTTTTTGTCACTTTTTCCATCAACATTTTCCTTTTAAAGTTAATTTTGAGTCAAATTTTTTTAGTATCCACTATCACAGAATGCCGAGTGGAAACTCCAATTTAATTTTATAAATGCTGATTTTGAAAGTACAATCAAGGAATGTCTAATTCATGCAAATGAAGCCATTTTACATGTACCTGAGCATTAACGCTGGCTCCTGATTGGATAAGCCACATGAGGCAGTGAGGTTGGTTGCCAAACGCTGCAACATGGGCAGGAGTTTGATGGAAGCGCTGCGTTGCTACGTCAAAATTCACACCAGCAGTTACAAGCAGCTGCAAGCAGTCCAACTGTTCCAATGCAATAGTTAAACAAAACAGACTGAAGTGAAGTCTGAAAAGTAATCTAACAAAGTAGGCCTATGATGAGCATGGTGTGTATGAAAAATGTATGTCAAAACGGGAAATAAAAACTAAGGCAAAGTTAAGTTAAATACGCCTGAACATGCCAAAGCTGAACATACATGTATTATTTAAAATATTATTGAGAAAAGGAGTTTAAGTTACATGTTTAATCATTAAATATTCATGATTGATGGGATAATGACATTTGTTTTAAAAATTATTATGCATAACTTTGGGGAAATCATTTTCGAATATTTGATGCAACATGGCAATCCCCGATGTTTGACTTTGTTTGGTAATTTTGTTAGGCCTAAATTTAGTAAATAATGACATTTTCATGATTTTTGTTATTTCAATTTAGGCCCCTCAAGTCTTAACTGGCCTAAGCGCTAAGTAACATCACATTTTAATTTATAACACAACATTCCAAATCCAGCATTGTTCAGCAAATCAATTGCGATGCAATGGTTGCATTTGCATTGCAGTGAATACTGAACAGAATAACAATTTATTTATTAACTATTTATTAACATTTGTTGTTTTGGGTATTAACAAGTTACAAAACTTTTTTTTTTCTGTTTGATCAACGTTGATATACCTTGCCATAATACGCTGACCAGTGTGCAGGAGTCCACCCGTAGAACTGATCCTCCGTGTACAAATCATACTCGCCATGCGCCAGCAACACAGACAAAGCCCCCGCCGCTCCATCACGGCACGCACGGTGAACGGGAAACCGACTGCAGAGATGATCTTCACTCGATTTATCCCAAAATCCCAGGGCTGGTGACTGCTCCATCATACGCCTGATGCCCTCCAAGGCAAGCAGCTGGAATTTAGAGAGATTTCTCACCGATTTGGGTTCATTTTGAGCCTCCAGTTTGATCAGGAAATGCCCACAAACAAAGACTACAGTGCGCCTTCACATTGTCGCCGATCAGTAATTTTCAGGGCAACAATGGCGCCTTTTTCCTATTCAATTTAGTAAGTCTGGCTCTACACGCATACCCGACTGAAATTTGTTCAAAATCTCATTACGGGGGTGTGGGTAGTCTGGGTACCAGGTTACAACTTAAAGGCGCAGTCGTGGACCGATTTTTGGAAGGAAAATGTTTTCGCCAGGGTTGGGGATATCGAGGGGAGGCGGGGGCAGGGAAACCCTCACAGCATCATTTGAAGTTAGACTGTGAAAACCTCTTCTCGTGTGCCATGGTTTTTCCAGTGATTTTTTTCAAGAGATATATAGGCAGTGGCGGATCTGGGGGCGGGGGGGGGGGGCAAACCCCCCCCCCCCGCAACCCGTCATTTGCTGAATAATGATGTGATACTAGTACAATTGGGCCAAAACAGTAATTGGATGCTAAGTTCCTAAATTTATTCCAGAAATTGCTCACTCACCCCCCCCCCCCCCTCCCGTTTCCGGTTAGATCCGCCCCTGGTACGGCAGGGGTCGCGCTGGGTAAAATGTGGATTGCAATTTTGCATTTAATATGATTTGGACTTGGTTAATTAATGTTAGGCTAGAAAGAACCCCTCCCCGTCATGTGATATTTTTTTAGAGTAATACAAAAAAATGACTCCATTCTAAAATTAAAATCGGACAAAACGATAAGCAATTAAGTGATTGGTGCGGGGTGGGTGGGTGCATTGATCTCCATACACACAGCTACAGACGGGGGGATGCTGATGTTGAGAAAATAATTGAGGAACTGAAAAACGCATAGCGCCCTCAACAGTTTGGTAAAGGTAACTAACTACGTTAAAGGTCATTCACCGGATAGTATGTGCGATAGTGCATGACGTCCGATCACAGATCAGCGTTTTTTAGTTTCCTGGTAAAGGTGAGTTTCTCCAACTTTATTTGAAAATCTTTTTGATCATGTAAAAAAGCTTTTGCTGATCGCGTTTATTCGTAATATAAATAAAAAACATTATGACCTTTCGTTTTAAATGAACACTAGCACTGCATCCTTTTCGAGAGAAAACCAATAAAGAACTTAAGTTAAGAAGTCTACACTACACAGTACAGGAAAAGAATATAGGCCTATTCATTAACAAAAAATATTATTATGCGTATTTGAATGTTGGACATATGATAATCATGTACATTTTTTTTTAACTTTCTCGCCGAAGATAATCATAATGATTTTTGCCTTGGGCCTAGCCCTAGTATTATTTATTAAGTCAAGATCCTCAATATTTAAATTTTTGTGGTATGCATGTCATCGTCAAACAGGGGAAAAAATCCATCAGAGTAGCACTTTTTAGGAGCGTGAAATACTACTAGGCCTATGGTTTGAAAATAGGATATTTTTCTGTTGTCAACCAAATTTGTTTAAACAAAAACAGACATTGGTCACTCAAATCTACTTCAGCCTTTGGGTGTTTACAATTGTTCTCTCAGAATATGACAGCTCTAAATTGACGGATCTTATTTTGTTTTGTCAGAGAAGTTTTGTGTCTAATTTTACATTCTGTGATTGTTAGAAATAAGGTCCTTTATTTCTTATTTGTTTCTGTAAAATCCAACCAAACCTTTGAACTTGATGGTGTTCAATACTGTCAGAGCAAATATCTTACATGATTAATTTTTGACTATCTCTTTTCTCAGGCCGAGATATCAGCCAATCAAAAATGGATAAGATTCTGCTTGGCATTGCAGCCTCCACCCACTCTGAGGCAGTCAAGAGAGCTATCATCGAGAGAGTCATAAATTCTGCTGGCAAGGGTCATCCTGAAGATTTAGTCAAAGCGATCCTAGATATCTCATCTCACTGGATCACAGACAATGATTCTGAGTTCCTGCAGCAGATTGGGAGGCAGCTCTTCCACGCTTGGGCCAAGCACAACCAGACAATCTTTGAAGAGTTCTTCAATCACCAGTTCCTGGTGAGAATCCTCGGCTTGGAGATCCTGCATCCAGAAAGGATGGTCCACTTTGTCCATGATGGACTGAAGATGCTTCAAAATCGGGCCACAGCAGTGAAGATCGTCCAGATGCAAGTTGTGGCACTGGTCAAGAAGCACAGAGACCTAGTGACATTGGTAGAAGTTAGTCATCTCCTCCTGGCATTCCCAGACTGTCTACCCAAGGGAACTGCGGCTGGCTTGCTGTGTATCTCTGCTGTAGAGAATGTCGGCGCGCTAGAAGTTGCTCCATCTGAAGCCACCATGAAGGCTAACCTTGAAGGCATGATACACATCAGTGCTCTGCTGCATCACATCTGGCATGACAACATGGTCACGGTCCTGCCATCTCTTGCAGCCGTCTTTAACCTTATCTCAACGCTGCCCTCTAGTGACAGACCTAGTCCTTCAGTTGCCTTGGGTGCCCTCGTTCAACATGTTCCTGTCGAACTCATTGCAACTATCACCAAGAACGCAGCATCAGACATGTCCATTGTGGATGAAAGAATGACCACTGCCTTGACCAGAATGATTGAGTGGCTATCATGGCCTCGGGTCCAGAACATTGACCGCTGGATTGTCTCATTTCTGAAAAATCTGGCATTGGCGCAGAAATTTACCATCTTGATCAATGTTACCCTTGCATCAGTTAAAAAGGTAAACATAAACATTGTAATGATAGGATGTCAATGGCAAAGATAACTAACCTCAACTTACTATTATTTAATTGAAATATTTAAAAATTAAAAATGACTAATCAGTTACAGTGCAGACTTCCAAAACCTAACCTCCAAATATTCCAACAAAAATGAATTCATGTGTCTCATTTATATAACACAACAAAATATCAATCACTTGTCAATCTTTTTGACCTTGACCATATCCCCAGGTGTTTGTGAAGCTGTGTTTCCCTATTGTCAGGGACAGTGCTTTGCCTGTACTCACCCACATGCAGCTGAGTTTCCAGCACTCGCCTGAAGCCTTTCACAAGGTACTCCATCAATTATATTTTATTCTTCCCCATCCAGGTATAAATATACCTGTTTTCAAGGTACAGATACGATTTCATTTGTTATCTTTTAAAATCCAACAAACTACAAGCAACAAGCAGTATAATTTATTTTCAAGACACCATATTTGTTAATGTCAATAAAGACCTAAATGCCATGAATTTTATCCACTCATCCAGAAATCAACCCTTGCTAATTTTGTTTTTCTCTAAGATTGTTGCTCATGTCCCTGAGCTGATGAAGCGACTGAAGACAGAGAACTCAGCGTCAAGTCAAGACTGTACACAGAAGGTAGCGGAGCTGATGTACTGTCTGATGTACCATCATGCCGGCTACCCGGATCTATATGAACCAGTCCTTGATGCACTCAAGGTTTGTTGCGAATAAGTTGTACGCTTACTCCCTGGCAACTTGGCAAGGAACCTTCTACTTGTTCCAAATCTGCCCAAATTTAATATTGTAACAACACAATGGCAATGGTCGGTTCTTACCATCCCTGTATAAAAGGCAGTTAGAAACTGATTTGATGTGTGATTTCTTAAATATCTGAATGTCAAACAGAGGATCTTTAATGGAGTGTTTTGTATCAATGTTATCTTCAAATTAGCCCTAACCTTCTAGGGTGTATGGAAATCAAATTAAAATTTGCAGGATTCAGGACTGTTAGGGTATCAGTTAAATCATTTGTTTAGTATTTGTGTTTGGATATTCGCACATGTATGTTGCCCTAACCCTAACCCCTTGAGCACTTTTACTATAAAGTATCCTGAATCTGCCAAAATCCAACAATTTTGTCATGCAACAACTTGTTGGTGTCCTGAGTCCATTAGAATTCACCAGTGAGTACATCAGAATCCACCAGTGTTGTACATATACTCATACACACCAAACACATACATGTAGATACGGAGTTAAACTGTTGAGATCCTGAATCCATCAAAGTCCCCCAGCTGCTCAATATGGAGGTATCCTGAATCCATCAAATACTGTAGTACCGCTAGGCTTACTGTCCTGAATCCACCAAAATCCCCAACTTTTTCAATATGGAGGTATCCCGAATCCTCCAAAACAGGGGTGTGGATTTTGATGGATTCAGGCACACGTGCATTGGAACTGCTGAATTATTTTTTTCGCATTTTTTGAATTTTTATTTTTAAACCAGGACATCCCTCGACCCAGCGAGGAGGCCATGAAGGAGACTCTCAAGCTGAGTGCCTGGACATCTAGAGCACCGGTCAACTCGGCCTTCGCTACCAGATTCCTACCGCGGTCCGAAACGGGAAAGACAGGACTGGTCAACCTGGGCAACACCTGTTATATGAATAGTGTCCTACAAGCTCTGTTTATGACCAGTGGGTGAGTTGAACACTAATCATTTAATCAATTAAGGCAATTATTAATCAGTTAATCAATTTACAGGTTTAGGGTAGGCATGAAGTCAAACTGGATGATGATGATTAGCGGCGATGTCCAGTCAACTTTCTAAGATTCTGAGATTCTGAGAATGACTTAAGGAACATGTGCTTTATGAAGTTTCCGGCAAGTGCTGGTAATGGCTAGTGCTTGAGTTGAGCAGTTGATCAATTAATTAGTCAATCGGTCAATAAATCAGCTCATCAATTTTAAGCTATAATGATTTTCAAAAAACACCATCTTTGGAATTTCTTGCTTGACAGAATGTATCACAGTCATAGAAATGGGGCAAATGTACAAGGTATCCCTTGATTAGTTGTCACTTTCATCACGATCTCTTTTATTTTTAATTGTAAGTAAATTTCGTTTTTTTTTCTTTTCAGATTTCATGAAGCTATCATGGCCTGTCCTGTCTACAATGACCAGTGTGTGGTTGCAAGACTACAGACAGTGTTTGCCTTCCTCACACATACACAGGTAACAATAATCCTGACCCACAGTAGACATTCCCTCAGCACCAACTCAGTCTGAATCATGTAGCTGCGTAACAGTTAGCAGAAACAGCTACCGAACCAAAACATTGAAAAATGAAACAAAGAAAATTACGTTGATAGGCGTTTATGTTAGCATCTGTGATCCCTTTGAATGTGTTAAGTAAACAGTTGAAAAGTAAAGGAGTAAAAACTTATTAATCATGATAAAGTTCCTTGCCCAGGGACACAAGTACATTCTCTGTCACAAGATCATGGTTCTAGACTAGAAAACTACTGGAAGGAACAAATTAGTTAATGTATCTTGTGGGTTTCTTTTCTTTATGCAGAGAGCTGCTTACTCGCCCAGGGAGTTCTTGATAGCATCCAGACCCCCATGGTTCTCACCCGGTACTCAGCAGGACTGCTCTGAGTTCCTCAAGTATCTCCTAGACAGGTTGGATGAGGAGGAGAAGTCTATCCGGAAATTTGAGGCTGGGCTTCAGCGGACAAGGGAATGGGTGGAACACATGAAGAGGAAGAATGCCAAAAAGATGGAGGAGGAAGCAGGGAGGATGAGCTCAGAAGAGGGTGAGGTTGGAAGACGGAGGATTGGAGGAGAGACTGACATGGAAGGATGTGGCAGATTGGGAGTGGAGTCCTCGACTGAGATGGATACATCATCAAATGAGATTGCCACTAAGGAAGAAGCAAGCAAGATTGAGATGGAGGACAAAACTGAAAAGAGAAAGATGATACCGGAAAGAGGAGAAAAGCAACCTAAAGGATGCGATGAGGTTGTCATGGAGACATCAGTCAGTTCTCCTACAATAGACGCATCAACTATTTCATTGTCTCCATGCATTATCTCTGAGCAGGGACATTCAGTGTGCACTCCGAAGCCAGAGGACAACTCTGCTGCAACCAAATTGGTGGCAGTCAAATTATCTGGAATTCAGAGTGATCAGGCTTCAGGCGACACAAAGATAAAGTTTCTTGACAGAAACACAACGTCTGAACCACCCATTGGCCCATCAATCGTGGAGGAGTATTTTTCTGGCAAGTCAGTCACCCGCATCCGCTGTCTAACATGCAACAGTGTCTCCAGCAGGACTGAGGCCTTCTTTGATCTACCCCTTGCCTTCCCAGGATCCGACACAACCAGTAGCATGCGTGGAGGAGAGAGCTGCACCAACAAGGATGATGCCAGCAAGTCCTTGGGGCTAGCAGCTGACAGGCTAGCCCAGGAGGAGCTAGCATCAGGTAGTAAGCAGTGGGAGTTAAACGGCGGAGCAGCTGCATCCACCTCAGCCATCAAGGACCTGATGAGTGGTCCTGGACAGAGCGGGGAAGGCAGCAACTCCTCCACTGCTCCTCCGAGTAGTCTTGAGGAGCTCCTGGTTCACTATCTAAACCCGGAGCTCCTTACAGGAGACAACCAGTATCACTGTGAGAAATGCCGATGCCTTCGAGATGCTGAGAAGCGTATTGAAATCTCCAAAGCTCCAAAAGTCCTCATGCTTACCCTAATGCGATTCTCCTATGATGTTAAAACTCAAAGTCGATGCAAAATCCTAGCTGATGTTCGGTTTCCTAAGATCCTCAATCTGGTCTTAAATCATCCAGAAAGGGACAATGGTGATAAAGCTAACACAGAGGCAGATAAAGTGTCTGATGAACAGGACTTGAGCCAAGATCCTCCTTGCTCAAAACGATTGAGACAAAACAGTGAGAACCTAACTACCTCCAATGACGAAGAAACAAAACACCGATTTGCTCTATATGGAGTCATAGTTCATTCTGGTTTGTCATCAGAAAGTGGACACTACTACTGCTATGCAAGACACTCAAACTTTTCACCGGACTCTCAGAGAAAATCCAAACCATCAAAGATTAAAACAGAATGTGAATCAGGTGACAGTAAAATGCAAGACTTACTACCGGAGGATGTTGAAGAAGACCTTTTGCCCGACCAGTGGTTTCTTTTCAACGATAGTCGTGTTTCGTTCTCATCGTACGACTCGTTTGGCAACGTCACCAAACGCTTTCCCAAGGACACTGCCTATGTGCTATTCTACAGACAAGTGCCTGAGGAGAGTAACGAGCAGTCAGGATGCCAGACAGGATCCGACACATCCCCAGTTGAGCTACGTGAGAAGCCTTTGAAGAAGAATCTACAAGAACGTGTCAAGAAGGATAACGCTCAATATCTGAAGGTAGGAAGATTTAACATATTGTGTTGTGTTTCACACTACCATTGGTGTAAAAATTACAAAGTGGAGATGAGGCCCAAAAAATCATAAATTAATTTGTGCTTCCGATTGCAAATTAATTTCAAAATAGGGTTGGTTTGTCAGGAAATTATTTTTTTGCACTTTTGTTATGCTGCTTACCTTTGGTCATGCTTTTCTCGAAATAATACACGAAAATCTTTGCTTTTTTTCACGTATGGTTTTGTCATTTTTAAAGACTTGCTAACAAAAACGTTAGGGTCGCACCATAAAATTAGGTTCAGTTGGATAACCAGAAGGAGAATTATTACTTTTGTTCCTTTTTTTGTTTGTTTTTTTTTGGCCTTTTGATGTGATAAGAGACTAATTTTTCTTTCTCAGGCATGCAACTTTTCCTCAGATCCGCTGATTTCCTCGTGTTTTACTCCTCACGAATGACATTACAAATTGAAAAATACTGTACAAAGTCTTGTGTGGTTTGGAGTTTCCTCTTTTTTTGTAAATTCCCAGTTGCATGCCTGCTTTCTGAATCTTGTTATTTTTTTTATTTACAACCAGGAGCGTGAGTTGGAGGCCAGAACAATGGCTCTGCGGACCTCTCAGGGTTTGGAGAATTTCTCCTCAAACCGGCGGGATTTTGACGACAGGAACGACCCACCGAGTGGCTGTGGGGGTGGTGGAGGAATGGAACCGCCTAGACTAGTGTTCTGATGTTGGTGAGGACGATAGTCTGAATGAAACTCTAGAGACATTTTATATATTTAGGTGCAGGGTGACGCCCCAAAAAATGCATCAAAATGAATCTACCTTCGTTGCTCAAGAATTGAACAAAAACAGTTAAATTATTTAGCCAGGTCATCATTTATCTTGGATTGAAAATACAATTTTAATTGAATTTTCTGTTGTATTTTGTTCAGTAGGCTGTATTATTTACTTCTGTTGTGTATAAATGTTCAAGTTTTTTTTTTTTTATGTGTAAGCCACTGGATCATTTCAAAACGACCTCACCACCATTCTAAAGAGATCTTTCCATACTTCTACATGTAGAAACATTTTTCAGTTTTCTTCACCATGAAAACGTCGAATATGAATGTTATCTTATGTTGGTTTCTGTTCTGCTTTCATGAGCTTTAGATGTGTGTGAGGGGTTTCTTTGAAAATCAGTCTTGTTTCAAACCAAATGTTTATTTTATTTTATTGGTGAAACCGAGGTTAACGAACGTATGATTACTGAATTTTAAAAGACATTATGTACTATAGATATACGTCTGTTAGTAATGGATATACTAATAAGTAATAACTTGTCTTTGGTTGAATATCTAGAAAGGTTGTTATCATCTACATGTTTTCATCTTATTTTTAATTTCAATGACAGGGTTGATGTAACCACTGTACAATGCTGTATCACCTAAACTGATGGTCTGGTATTTCACATATTTCCGTTTTCTTTTACAAAGCTGGTCTAGTTAATTTATTTTGAGAAGATGAAAACGTTTACGATGCATTCTGTATTTTGCTGACAAAATGCTGACCCTGCTTGGTCAAGTATTAATAATAAATGAGCTTTAGCAACATAACATTAACATTTAACAGTGTATTAACAAAAGTAAAGTGTAGTATTGTACATGTGCAGTGTTAAAACATTAAAATGAAAAGATTAAAGATAAAGAAAATACCAAACAGTGCCATTACAATGTATGTTACTTCTTTTTGTTGCATGTATTCCAGTTAGAAGAAGTAGGATTTAAGCTATTAAATGCAATATTTGGTTGTCTATGCAACAACTTAAGGTATTATGCCGATTTGCCAATTTCGTAACACGAATGTTGCCCATAGGACAACTCAAGTAATGCATTTTCATGAAACCTTGCAGAACTCTTTCTAATTAAATTTAAGAGAAGTTGCCACGGGTCAATTCTTCAGTTCAGGGAAGTTGAGATATAAATCACTGACTGCAACATGTGCCACACCTCCAAGGTTGATTGCCTGTAAATCAGTTCTGTCCTTACCTTCAGCCAGTAAAAGACCCCAGTTCGACTTGGCCAATTTCAAATGCTGTCCATACAATAACTCAAGGAAGACTCGATGAATTGTCATGATAAAAGTCACGGCCAATATGGTCATAACAAAAATAAAGTGCACTTTTTGGTCGCTCTATTACTTGTATTAGTATTACGTAACGACTTCACATGCGTTGTATTTCTTGCGAGCATTTAATTTTTAATGCACTATCTGTCTTGATTCACTTGAGGGCGCTACATAAGTTTTAAGGACAAAGTTTGCAACCAATTATATTTCTTGAGGGGCTGTTTGAATAAAATCTACATTATGTAGCGCCCTCAAGAAAGTACACATTAAAATTTTTTTTATCTTTTTTGGAAATGTCCGCGTTATTTAAATATCCCTCCGTTATTTTTCACAAACACCCACCCTCTTTTAAAGTAAAGAATATTTTTTTGTTTAATGCCGCCCTCTATGAAGGAAATATTTTTTCTCTTTTTATTAAATACCGCCCTCTAGGAGAAAGGGTGTTCCCCCTTGTCTGTAAACACCGCCCTTTGGAAACAGTTCATCAATGAATTCAAATCTTACAAAAAAAACTTCGAGGAGAAAAAAATAGGGGATTTTGTTTTCACTTGCGGTATTTTTGACTGACCTTTTAAATAACTAAACAAACCAACGAGGCAAACAATTCTGGCCATTTCAATTTATTCTTAATCTTATTTTAAAACATATATTAGAGGATTATGGCAAAGTTCTAACTCTAAGAAATGTTTCCATACAAACTTTAAATACATGGAAAATAGTTGAAGACTACCTTTGAAAGTTATTAAATTTCATAACTTGATTTTTTGCATTTCATTAAATGGTTTTTCTTTCAAAGTTAGGGGAAATCATTTTCGTATTTGATACGACACATTTATTGTAAGTGTTACACGGTTCGAAATTAGCGGTACCCTGCTAGCCAAATGCAAGTCACAACAGCGGCGGGCTAGTCAAACTATTCCTTAAGTAGCCCGCCTGGCGAGACAAAAATTATTGGGATACGGCAAAGATGAAAGGACAGGAAGAATTAAATCATTAAATTCAGAAAGAAAACCTCATTAATTTGTGTCTAATTTTATGGTTAAATTATTAGAGCCGTTTCATAAAAACATAATTGCCTCAGAATTGAGCCTGAAAATATGCCATTTTGTATTTGAGCCACAAAAGAAAGGCGGGCTAGTGAAAATACCCGAGAGCTAATATTAAGAGTCTGTTTCAGTAGCCCGGCTGGCTAGTGAACAAAAAAGTTAAGGTCTGTGTTGTAACCTCAGCCTCATAATGCACGACTCTCGAGTGTTGTATTCGAGTCACCTACATGATTAGTGACCTACTTCAGAAACTACAAAACGACATCATTACCCTTTGTAACTGGGAGTCCAAGTGGCAGATGCGATTCAACATCACCAAATGTTATGCCATGCACATGACCCACAAAAGAGAACCTCTTCTGTCATCTTTTAAGATAAATGACAATCCTCTCCAAACAGTCACAAATCACACCTACCTGGGAGTAGAATTAAACAACAAACTGAACTGGGCTGAACACATAAGTAACTCTACTACTAAAGCAAACAAAGTTCTTGGACTGTTGCGCAGGAATCTGTTCAGCTGCTCCACCAAAGTTAAAGAAACTGCATATACGACCCTGGTCAGACCCAAGTTAGAATATCGCGCCAGCATATGGGATCCATACCATCAGGACCACAAAAATAAACTGAAAGCTGTCCAACGCAGAGCGGCAAGACTCGTCTGTAAGGACTTCAGGCGCACAAGTAGTGTCTCATCCATGATCACCCACCTCGGATGGAAATCATTGGAGGAATGCAGAACCATATCCAGACTAACCTTGCTCTACAAATCCATTCACCACAAAATCGCAATTGATGTTGATCAGTACCAAGTTGATTCCAAACGGGACAAAATCTTAACTAGAAAATTATATTCATTATCCTTTGTTCACCCTACATCTAACAAGGACTGCTACAGATATTCTTTCCTACCAAGAACAACAGCTCAGTGGAACCTACTTCCTACAGAAGTCAGGGAAGCTACTTCAGTGGAGTCCTTTAAGTCAAGACTCCATGAGATGCAGTTGTCTTCAACACTAAGGGCGCCTACTAACAAAATTGTTTAGGGATGCTGCTAGCCACCACTCACCTGCAACCTTATATCCCATAGTGGAGTTTGTTTGCAGTATGCTACAGATACAGATACTATTTCATTCAACAGAGCACAAAAAAATCACAAAACTGGTTTTAGTTTCCAATGATAATTCTCTTTCAGAGATTATTTGATTTTTTTTTTATAATTTAACACATTTTATGCCATACGGGTGGTTTACTCTTGCTCAAATGTTTACTACTGCATTGGGAAATTAATAGATTTTTTATCAATATTGGAAACAGACGGCAGCTATCGTAATATTTGAATAAACATGCCACAAAACACACAACTGAAACTGCAAATAAAATAACTAAATTGAAAGTTAGAAATCCCAACTAAGAAAGGAAATCACTGCCAAACATTTACTTTGTAAATGAGCAATTTCCCTCACCAACCAATCTGTTCTACTTTCGCATTGCAAACAGTTGCTCGGCCAGGCCCTTGATTTCGCCTGCCTTGGTGGTCTTACTCAGCCAATCAGAAGGCAGGGATTCGACCCCACCCTGAGCTCCCAGACAAGTCCCGATGAACATGAGACGAGAGACGTTGTCTCCCCCAGCAACCATGGAAGGACGAGCAGAGGTCACGAAGTCATCGGTGGCATTCACCACTCCGTGAAGGGCATTCTTGAAGTTGCCCGGCATCGCTTAAATATTACAAAAAATTTAATTTTTGGTTAAAAGTTTGATATTGTATGTTGTCTGTAAATTTAGATCCAACATTTTCCTTGGAAACAGCAGTTCATGTCCAGAGGGAGAAATTACAATCAAAATTTGCTCGAAAAAATGAAAGAGCCCCTTCACGTTTGAGATGTTGAATGCAAGGCGTCAAACGTTTTTACTAATTTGAAGGTATTCATAGGATGGAATTTTGCGTCGGGGTGATGTAAATCAAATTAGGTTTTGCCCCTCACCGATGTATAAACACTGTTTACTCAGTGTGTTACCTCCCGAGTGAAAGTTGGAAAAAATCACTCCAGTGGGACTCAAACCCACGACCTCCTGCTTTCTAGTGCAGATGTCTTACAACTCGACCACCGAGCTAACGGGATCGGTTGGCTGGTTCGAATCTGATGTACATAGCAGTGGGTACCGCATTAACTATTCATAAGATGTGATTTTTTCCAACTTTCACTCGGGAGGTAACACACTGAGTATACAGTGTTTATACGTCGATGAAGGGCAAAAGCTAATTTAATTTGAAGGGACTGCATGATTCGACCAAGCACCTCCCTTTTTGGGACAAATATGATAAAAAGTAAGACATCATGTCGGCCATAATTTGAGCCCTATACAAGTTTCTCCCACTAAGCAAAGAGACCTTTGTTCAACCATCAACTGCCACTTACCACAGCTAGAGCCGTTCTTCTTTACCACCTCAGCATGGGGTTCGGTCTTGGTCTTCAGTACCTCTTGAATGGCATCCTTAGCCTCGGAATCCACAGAGCTCATCATCTTGTCCACAGCCTGAGGATTGGGACCGTTCAAGACGTAGTCCTCCACAAGCTTAGCACCTGTGTGAGAGAAAAATAGCATGAAACAACTGAGAATATTGCTATTACCCTGGATGGGATGCCAGTCCATTGAAGGTTACTCTTAGCTAACGCGGGTACCCTTCTACTCCTGGGTGGAGAGAGGCAACTGGGGGTGAAGTGGCTGGATGTGAACCCTTGACCCTCTGATCATGAATCACAAACTGTATTCAGAGTACCAGGCAACCACATAGATTAAAATTTGGACTTTATACCAACCTGCCAGTGCAAACCTGACAGCGATGTCATTATTCTGAGTGATCCTCACAACAGTCTCCACGTACTCCATGAGTTTAGGATCACCAGCGTAGAGCGCCACCAAGGGACTAATCTTGCACACGCCATCCATCTAAGGAAATATCACACAATAATATGTGTTATTTTATAATACAGTTATCATGTCCAATATTCCCCTGTTTACATTACGCATAAATACCTGAATGTCAATGGGTCATGAAGAACAAACAATACAAATTTTGAGTATCGACTTCAGGATTTATTTTTGGGGGGGGGGGGGTGTTTAGGGGGAGGAGGATTTTTGCTGGTGTTGCCTAACTGAACTTTGATCAATAAAAACACTGTAACCACAAAACAGCTGTCAAGTTCCTTTTCTGTTCTTCCAAAAGAACTCTCTTGTTGGGAATATATCACATCCTGAAATAAAAACTCTTGTTGCTTTTCCATCAATCAATGAAAGGATGTACCAGCACTGCCTGTGCATAGTTGTCAAGCCTAGGCATCTCCTATGGTCCCTCCTGGACAATCATTCACAGAAGCACTGTGGGAGTGTCTGGCAAGCTGCTGTGAGGAACAGACCACAATGAACAGCAGTCTGACGACATGCCAGGCAAGCAAGATACACGGTCCATACATTAAAGTAATGGTCACAAAGTGAGTCCCATGTATGACTGACAGAACTCTAAAATATCAATAAATTTGTGTGTGAAGTGGAAAAAATGATATCCCCTTTTGTCAGGTGGCAATTTCAGCAAAGTAACTTTAGAATAATATCAATTTGTTGGTTTTTTAGGGGGGGGGGGGGTTGGGGGGGGTGTTAAGAAGACACATTGATTGATGATATTGCTAACTTTCTGTGCTTCATTCCAGACTCAGACATATTCTGTCACCATGATTTCAAGACAATAATTTCAGAACTTCTCTGGAAGGCCTGTCTTCATAACATCTTTCAATGTCAAACTCAATTTCTCATTGAGCCTTTTCTTGCATGTCACGTCAAGTCCCCCTGTGGTGCTCAGCAATTCCTACTTTAATTACTGCAAGAAGTCTCAGCTATTTATGGGAAAACAGTCAGGAACTCCAGGCCAGTGACTTCCGAGATAATTAGCAGACAATCGGCCATACTACAGGGGGTCTGAACCTCAACTGATACATCTTGGAAGTTCAAGACACAAGCAAGTTCTATCATGTATTTTTATGTTTGTGGATTTAAAAAAAACTATACTGAGGTCACCAAATTCCATTTACTGCTAAATAGAAAATATCTTTAAGGAAAAAGTGCTGCTGCAAGCTACTTACAAACTCAGATGATCTGAAATACATTGTGAACTTGGGAGGACCTTATGTTTTTGATTTTATATGCAGGAAGGTCTCAAGGCCTGAAGATAGGATGTTTGCACTTTTTAAAAAAAGTGCAGAGTCTTTTTTACAAGGTCATTTTACTTGATCCCAAAGAAAACTTCGACAAGTTCAAGATTTTATCTTTCATTTTGTAAAAGGGCATCCCTGTTTCATCACATCTTGAGGTCATCACAGGTTTAATAACTGCCCCCGAATTTAATGCATATCAGTGGCCGGGGATAATTTGGTAATCACACATGGAATTTGCATGCCTGGAGTTACTGCCATTCCGACTTCAGTTTTGCAAATACCGAGATCAAGCACAGACCATGGAGCTAAAAGCAATTTGAACCTGTAGGCGTCTCAACAACAACAGCGATGTACATTGTAAAACTAGATGTCGTAAGGCGTGTTGGTAAACCCACTACAAATTTTCTTTGGGATAATACCAATGCCCCGAGCAATGCTGCTGTTTTCTAACAGGATAATTTCTGTAAATAGAACAGGGCACCTGGACTTGGGAAGAGTTTAAACACCTGGATGGAGCTAAGAGAAAATGGAACGTGGAAATGTGGGCCCTTGGCAAAAAAAAAACAAGGATTATATAAATAAAAGGGGTCAGAAATTTTGCATTCCTGTTAAATGGCCGCTTTCAATTTGAATTTATATTTAGGTTAGGGATTTTCAATTGTCTGAATACAAATACTATTTGTTTTTCTTAGGGAAATGATTATTTTATCCATGCTATGTTTGTGTTCGTTTTTCATTTTTTTTGATAAATATATTAAATTCAGTTCCTCAGTGACTGTACATGTAGAAGGTAGATAGGTAAACAAATTTATAAAACAAAGTGATTTTAAAAGGTTAATCTACGAAATTAACTTAGCAATTCAAAAAATAAACTTTTAGAGTTGCAAAATTCATAATTTCCCAATTTCAAAAAAATAATTTAGCAATTCTGAATTCAATTTCTCTTTCAAACTCCCCACAAAAATGCTCCCTAATTCTCTTCCCAAACTAGTCCATGCCCTATCCTCCTTTTCAACATTCTCTTACGTTGATTGGAGTTCTTCAACGTCCTGAGGGGAGTATTTGAAAATGTTCCATGAGTGCCTCTCAAGGGCTCTGTGGCACCCACGAACACACAGGGATATAAACAGGGGGAATTACGGACCCAGACAACATGTCTGCTACTGAATGTTGGCAGTTATGACTTGCGCATTAAGTCAAGTGCCGTCTTGCACCCCCACAAAAATGAAACTAGATATTTAGGAATAGAAAGACGCCAAAAAAAATTGAACAGACGGATTTTGACTCAAGAGCCTGACTGTAAACCTCAAAGTCTGACCCTGACCCCCCCCTCCCCACTTGGGCCGCAAATATAGGAAAATCATTCAAAAAAAAATTGCACATCTGCTAAACCCACCCCCACCCCCCTAACATAATAGCTAACACCCCCCCCCCCCCCCCCCCCCCCCCCCCCAATGAGCCAAAGCTGGATCTGCCCCTGAAGACTGTTTTGAGAAAAGATAGAAAATTGTCTTTCTTTCTCAGACACAGACAATAAATTACAAGTGCCTCTTCAACTTTTTTGGGTGGACTCTGGGGGTGGGGGTGCGATGAGTTCCATTTTCAAGAGAAATACACTCAAATATTTCAAACCAGACTTTCAACACTAATAATCATTACCCAAGTTTCAAATTCAAGTCAAGTCCAATTAAACAGTCAGACCAGAAATCTTATTAATTTCTAACCAAATGTGACACAAACCTTGCTAGAATAGACTTGCATTGAATACAAAATGACGTCACGCTTTGTTTACATGTGCGCTTTCCTATGAGGTGGAACGCATCCCACCCGACTCTCATAGGAAAGTGCACATGAAAAAAACCGTGACGTCATTAAGTCTTAGGTCTATTGGGATTTTTGGGTTGCTTTCAACAGATAATAGAATTTCACATTCATCCCGTCAGACGCCAACATGTCTACAGTAGCAGTTTACTGCACTTTCCCCCTTGGTGATCCTTAAGTAGTGCCTCCATGGAACATCTAAGAATGTTTTCAGCTTACATCCTTCCTACATGCTTCTGTATCGCCCATGACTGTCCTATTTATCAGCTAGTCCACTTGAACACGCTGTGAATGCACTCTTCAAATTAGCCTACATTTTCTACAAAACGGTGTGAAAATAGCTGGAGATATTTGACAGCATGCATTGTTAGATGCTGAAAAATTGGCCACTACATGTATATGAGGTCAGTACACTTTCTGTGGGGTATTTTTTTTTGGAAAGAAAATGTTCCAATTTTACCTGACCTCTTTCAAAATTCTAACTGGATGTCGTTTGTGCTTGTATGGACCATTAACTCATTTATGTTCGCAAGCGTCATTAGTTAGATGGCGATGACACTAATGACACCTCGGAGGGTCGTTTGCCACCATGCTTGCCATCCTTCATGACACATTGTCATTAGGGTGGGGGTTATTTACTGGGCTAATTTTCGGGCACCTGAGATAAGGCTACTGGACCATAGTATATGTCAATATTTTTAAATGACTCTCTGCCAAAGATGTGAAATATATGCATACATCTCAAGATATGGCACAATAGACCGATATGTACGTGAGATGCACTATTTAACCCCTTAACGCCAGCTGATGCATGGCTGCAGTCCGCTAATCTGTCCTGTATGTTGTAAGCCATGCTATGCCGTGGAATGCGGTCTGTGGACAGTGCAGCTGTCACCGGACAAAGGCCGATGTGCAGTCATGCATGTAAGCCGGTAAAGTGAGGCATGACAATACCAGTGTCAAGGGGTTAAGAAAAGAAATGTCTACCTCCTGTTTTCCCGAGTACCTACTCTTCTTTTTATTTCTCTTGTAGCCCTGTACCTGGAGTGGTTTTCAACCTTGTTCCGGGGAAATATGCATGAAACACAATCCCTTGTTAATAAATTTCCTATTTAGACCAAAACTGGGAATTTATACTGATCAATTCATGCATGCACAGTATTCGAAATGCAAAAAAGACTTTGTTATCATGATATCACAAGTACACCCAAAGCAATGTGGAAAATTTGAACAGATTTTAACTCTGGCAAATTTTACTTCAACTGATTCTGGACCTCAAATTACAATGTACAGTGTACATGTACCTTAAAAATTGCATTGGTGTGAAGACCACGCAAGTCCACAAATGTCATGATGTCCTCTTCCAATCCTGACTTTTTTTAAGTTTCAAATCTCTGATTTCAAGGCCACCATGCTCACTTACATCTTTGCTTTCCGTGTCTCCAGGTTTCTCCTTGTTCTCATTGCAGTTTTTCAGGAAATTTGATATATTATGACTGATCCATGGTCCGTTGATTGGTTTGGGTCCCGAGTGGTCGATATCGTAGGCACTGCCGGGGCCAAAGGTGGACTTCAAACTGGACTTGTAACTGTCCACATTCAACCCTGAATAGAGAAATGAAGAATGAAACAGGAACAGAGGAACTATGAGTCTTCACTTGACTTACAAATGCATCTTTTCAGAATGTTGTCAAACATCTTTCTTGATGAGCTTAAAATTCATTGTTAAATTTGTACAATAGTGCCTTGAACCTTAGCTGAAAGGAAAAGTCCAGACGTTTAATACATGGCATGGTGTATGGTATTCAAAATATCGGTACATGGATAAAATTGTACAAATATTAGCAGAATTTGAAGGACATCCTACTTTAAATTAAAGTATAATACAAAACAAAGACATTTAAGAACCTCGACACCAATGAAAACATATTTAAACATCCGATTTTGAATATCTTGGACATTTTCAACGTCCAAGGAAAGTGCAAGATTATTGTTTACAAAATCTGGTAACGGGGCACGGATTTCATGATCAGTTGTTCTATCCAGGAAGCTACTTTTTGTGACAAACCAATCATTTTTAAAACAGGGATTTCATGCATTCATATTTTTGAGATGGGAACAGGATTTTTTTCCCTTTCCCACAGGCCAATCCTATTTGCAGGTGTGAGGATCATGCGATGATACTCCCTACATGGCTGACGTGCTTTCGTTGAGGTCAGCATGGCTGCAGTGTCAGGTGCACTCACGTCACATCGCGATGGACGCTTACTCACACCTGAGTAACTTTGCCATCTTGTCTCTTCTCGGGAAATTATATCCTCTTGGAGATATAATCTTATTTTCAAAATCCTTCACAGCACATTACATTTGCCATCTTGCGGGTGTTAACTGAGTCGCAAAGTGCATTATGTTGCAGAGCACAGTCCTGTCACAGTATTTTTTTAATTCAAAGAATAGAACTCAAACAAACAGAACAACATTGATTTTTTTTTTGCAGTTTTAAAGATGCATCTTGGAAAGGAAAGAAGCTTTTTTGTACCATGACTGCATTGAGTACCCTATGTGTGTACATTTAATAAATCTTACGAAATATAAATTACATTACCATCAAATTTCTCTGTAAGTAATATCTTCACTGAAGACAATCCCAGCTTTCTTTGTAAATGGTTGTCTACTATAAATATTCAGTCTCCTCACTATGACTAGAGCAGGCTAGTCGAAACTTTGAGACCAAAGACAATTTCTTTTAGAACTAAGCAGGACTGTTCTTATCAGAACTAAAACTACTTAGCGAAAGTTGATAATAAGCAGGACAAGTTCTTATTAGAACTAAATATCTACTGAGCGATTACCACATGGCATTACCACAAACCAATTCGATAATGATACTCCACTATGCAAAGCCTAAAATCTTGCATGCACTAATATTCTGTTCAGCTTATGAACTGAACATCATTTGGAAATCCATGCATGTACCAACACAAGGTGTACTCTTGTAGCCCGAGAAACAACATTTCATTTCTACCTGGCCAGCATTGGATTCCCCGTCTCCCAAGCAGTTGCCGTAGTAATAAACCACCAATGTCACTACCGGTAGAGCACTGAGGCAGAACACACACAGAGACACACTCCAGCACAGTCAGTGTGGCTCAGGATACCTGCGTCATTCCAGCCTTGTGAATCATCTTCATCCTTCTAGCTCTGTGAAGATGCCGGCCGGTCCTCCTTCCATCAATCTTGGCTGTCCCGTGTGAAAACATTGCAAGAGGAAGTCCACGAGGACTCAGGATTTCAAAGAAAAATGGATACGTTCTGACACCTTTGACTTGACGGCATCTTTAAGGTATGTTGAAACATCTTTTCTTTTCGGGAATAAAGAAAGTGAAGAAATACAACACGTGTCATGTGTGTAATATGATAGGTTGTGATGGAAGCAAACGCAGGTTTTTTAAAGTATAGGAAAATGACGAAAAACCTACGTGTGACAGAGTAGTAAAATGTACTTAATACAATAAGTCGGCTAAAGGCCTTCCACCTGGGGTACTGTTTTAATTGGGAAGAGATATAAGCGCCAAAACCCCTGCATGTTCAAACATATAACTCCAAATACTCCTTGAATGTTTGATGTGAAAACTGAACCAACGTCTCAAATTTCATGTTGTCTTGAAAACTGACGCCACTCATCAATGACTGATTGAAACACTAGAACAACTCAAGCAATTTGTAGAAGGAACGGCCATAAAACAGCACATGACAAAATAAGTCTTGAATTACACTGAGTTCCAACGACCAAATCAGACAGACCCAGACATCGATTTCCAGGCAGCGATTCGTCTGAGAACTTGATCTGATTGATCTTAACTGAAATTTAATATTCCCTTCCCCCTGAGGGCCTAGATACATAATCTAGGGTAAAGTGATTCTAATGAATATTTCAAGTTGCTTGACATTTAGAATGTCAGTTCTAAGACTCGTGGTTAAACAGACAGTGATGAAGGCTTAGTGTGTGTGGGTATTATGCTAATAATCAATATTCATTAGATGCATGGAATTCTTAATTGAATTGCCCGTAGGAATGTGATGTATTAGTGTTTCTTACTTTTGTGGCTTGACTTGAGGACGTAAAATGTGGTTCTAAATGCCCTCTCAACCTTTTTTTACATTTCTGATTTCATCTTTGATTACATGAATATTTGCTTTGTTTATTCCTGACCTTTTTTGACAATTCCATAAATGAAATCTGACATTATGTGGACTTCAGCTGTACAATACGTTATATAATTTGTATTCATAAATACCTCAGACAGTTTAGCCATTCCTATTGGTCGAGAGCCCGTCACGTGGCCGGTATTAAACGGATGATAAAGACATGGCTAGCTGGTCTTAAACACTTTTCCAGTGTCACAATAAAATGTGGACTCCTAAAAATCCAGTGCCTCTTACCGTTTCATTGGTTGAACGTCCACAATCCTCACGTAGGCATGCGCAACACTACAAGCGAGTCAGAATTTTATAGTTCTAAATTCAAAACGCAACGCCCCAGGTGCGTTCTGCGTGACATCGCGCAGAACATGTTACGCGCGCGTCAATCTCCATAAAAGGGTTGTTTACATCTTACTCGCCAGCTGAACACTCCATTATTTTGCTAGAGGGATGTTTCAAAAAGCATGAAGTGAACTTGTTGAACAAAATCGGGATTTTTTGAACGAATTATTTGAAAAATTTTTACGGATAAGGTATTTATGAATGGGAATAAATATGTGCTCGGTCGGTATTTATCACTCGTTTAATACCGCTTAGAGTCTGGGTGCTGATAATTACCCTCGCCTCCGGCTCGGGTAATTATCAGCACCCAGACTCTAAGCGGTATTAAACGAGTGATAAAAACCTCCAGAGCACACATTTATTCCCTTAATAATATGGTTATATTTAAGCTATTATTTTTTTTAAATAATTATTTCCTGTGCTACCCGTACATGTAAAAATGTGTACATGTTAATACATCTTTCAAGTTCCTGATGTTGTGACATGTATAATCTTGAATCATCTTATAGCAATTCTAGGCAACCCTAATTTAACTACTGGTACAATGTATTGTATCGAGAAAGCATTGTAAAATTGTGTTAGGAAAAGAAACATTACAACTCTCCACTTGGGGCGGGGCCATAATTGCTGATTAAAATTCACAAAATACACAACCCCTTTAATGATACACATCTCCCAAATTAACCCTTTTCAGAGAATACCAATTTTCTTTTATTTATCCTGCCGCAATCAGAACAAAGGCCTCATATTGGATTTGCAATGTGACCAACTCTGATACAAGATGCCGTCCCCATCAATAAATATCTCATCCATAAAACACGGTGACACAGCAACCGCGGAGTAGCCATGCAATCAAAATGTGTCCTTCTGTCATATCCGTTGACCGGTGCTTCTAATGACCCCCCCCCCTTCCCCAAAGCAATGCCTTAATGTAAAGATCAATATTCTTAACAGCACGAATGTAATTAACTAAAATCCCTCCATACAACTGACCAAATGAAATCATCTTTGCAACGGATGTCACCTTCATTAAAAAGATGGGCACGTATGAAATATTAGAACCCAAAGATAACAGAAGTCCGTGTACCAAACTTAGGTTTACAAACGAACTCCAAATCAGGATGTTTGAGATGCTTTCTAGACTTACCAAGGAGTGTATTTAAACAAAGTGGATCGGGCGTATTTCAGATTAACAACGTACCACTGGAGTGAATTTACTGATGACCCTTGCATTCCGGGCGCAAACCTGCTGACGGCCGCGCCGCTAATGACTAGGTATATTTAGCCACCGTGCCCACGGGATGGACAAATTTAGACAGCGCTAGACTAGTGATATTGTGTTACACGTTCAGTCTGCATCGGGAAAGTAAATTGTCAAGCAGTCTGTCTATGGACAGAGTCAAATAAAGAAATGATTCCTTTCAATGTGAAAAAACATTAGTGCTCAGTAAAAAGTAAGTTATTTTATTAAATTAGTTGTTATCAACTTACACTGAAGGTTTACCTAGCAAGAAAATCTTGAAAGTATAACAAAGTTGGAAGTTTTAAATTATTTTGGTTAAATATACAAATTAATTGAGACTAAAAACTAACTTAGCCACAAACTCTTGACAATGTAAAGATTGGAAATTGCAAAGTGAAAAATTTCACATAATATCCAGGTCTTATCATTGAGAAACCCCAAGATGCGATACTCTCTTTAAGCCTCCCATCCATCAGTCTCCAGTTTCCTCCCAGTTTTCCTTGACGCATACCCCCACGGGCCTTTCCGTAACAACCCCTGTCAAATATCTCCCCTCCAGCGCATATCACATAAATGGCCTGTCTAATCTTTCAAACCTCGGCCCAACATCACGACCCAGTACAGCAAACCATTCACAAGAAGAAAAAAGGGGGGAAAATCCATCCATTAAGTTACAACTTGAATGCACTTTAGCACATTTTGGAACATAAAAACCTGTCCCACGGCAGAAAATTCTAGCAGGTGGAGTCTACACACGCAACATGAATGGATCTCCCCAATCCCTGAGGCAAATAACCCTCAATTTAAGGCCGGGAAACTCTGATACCCAAACCGTTCGCAGACTCCAAAGTTCTTTAGTCTTAAAGTTTTTTTTCTTTTCGTTTTATCCATGTTGTGATTCATTCCTCTACTTAGAATCTGTCTCCTCTGCTGTCTGGGAACTAGCTGCTTTATATTCATGGAGTGGAACGTAGCATGTCGTGATGCATTAGTCGTTGGGTAATAAGACAAGACGAACCACTGTCACACCTTGCGAGTGTGCCTCGCGCGCTGACGTGGGCCGCGATGATCAATATTTCCCGGCTTTGTTTATCCCAACCGTTTTTACACTAAGCGGGAGGTGTTCGGAAACGACCTTGCTGATTGGGAAATCATGGAATTTCAAATGAGTGCTCTGCGGGAAGCTTTAAATGTAATGTAAAGTATTTGTTTCTTCCTCCTGGAAAAATTATGAAAACAATTAATGTATGTGCAGCACTGCTGATTTTACAAGAGATGTTAATACCTCCACCCTATTTAGTCAAGGATTAAACACTTTCATTTTCTCAATCAATAAGCACAATTTTTGGGCTCACAATTTGAACAGAAAAAAAAAACCTAAATTGAAGAATGCATGCCTTAAATGGTTTGAAAGCTTGTCATCATATTTTATTTTTTTAGTAGTCTGTGAGTCGGTACTTCATCTTTGAATCTTAAAGTCTTATTGTTCTTAATGTAAGGCGCATTTGATCAATTTTATTTGGATAATGCGCAGTAGAAATTTTAATATTATTATTATTATTATGAATGCTCGTGATCAATTTGAGTAGTTTAGTGTAGGCATTACATCTTTAAACGATCACTCTTTTTACAGCATCAATTAACTGGTTAAGCGTACCTTTGTTGTCCACCAAGGACTTCAGCAAGACATAGCACTGGTCACCATAGGCACTCAGAGATCCTGTGGGTACTTTGTAGAATGGACATTGACCCTCTGGAATGAACTCTGGCTTGTCATATTTGGCCACGATGGCACCGAGGTCCGCTGTGTTGTAAATCCAGTGAAGAGGAAGACCTTCATAAGTTAAAAAGAAGAAAAAAACAATAGGAAATTGTTCATGAAAATACTGTTACAAAGAATTAAATGCTATCATGATATTCAAGGCACCTTGCTTAAATCAAGGAGAAAAACTCAACACAAAACAAAGCCAGGTTATAGAAAAAAACTGGAACAAATTTAACAGCCAGTACATTCTTCACTCAATATGACAATATGGAATCATACAGATACAATGTCACTATTAAGTTTTGCCCTTCAGCGAGGTATAAACACTAGACGTCAGTACAACGTCCCTGCCAAAATTCACTACAATGTTTACATGTATGTATATATCTACTGCACAATTGTGAACTTTCCTTCAATTTTACACGAAATTGTGAAGTCAAAAATTCTGAATTGTACCAAATCTAAGTCCCAAGTGACAGCCTACTTTCATTCAGCTACTGTGCCAAACTCTGCACCAAGCCACATTAGAATCACTGTCAACATTCTCATGTGAGGCATTGAGGGAGTTTCTTTGCCAAGAGTGTGGCGTTCGTCGGTCTTAATTGGGCCGAGCTCTGCTGAGGAGTCCATCCTGCCACAAACCGGTAAGCACAGGATGAGCAAGCAGCTGTCCCAATACCAAGTCAAATAATCTGCCAGCGTTGATGGAGTCTTGGTGTCTAGATCTATAGTAATGTAGACGGAGGAAACATCGATAGGAAGGGATACGTGCAATGCAATCTCTCATCCGTATACAAGATACTTTTGGTGGGTCTATTTTCAGTAGTTGTATGGATTTGCTGCATAATATCTTTTACGTACATTTAAACCACATGATGTGATGCACTTGTTTCCTTGATCTGATATTAAACATTCACAAAAATATCCAACCCACAATTGACTGGTTTTTTGGTCATATCCATGACCAAAAAAAATGGTACAATATACTTGTTTCCTTGATCTGTAATAAATATTTTACACAAAAAAATATATACTTCCGATAATAAAGACAGAAATGACCAATAAACACATACATGTGTAATTCGATACACTTTAAATATTCTAAATCCCGTCTAACACGAGATTGCGTTTATTGAGAATGGCCAAGCAGGAGTAATATCCCAAGGATTAATCTGGAACAGTGAAACAAGCAAGTGTTCCTAATGAAATTCTTGTCTCTGAAGTTAAGTTAAGCAATATCGGGGTCTTTTGTTGGTGAGACGGGCCGGTAATTATATTTGTTACAGATATGAGTAATCGGATCAGCTGCAGCTGAGCGAGAATGGAGGGGAGGATGTAACGTGGGGCCTTGTGTGGTGGGGGAAGGAAAGACATCTTAGACGAGGAGAGACTGAAACAAGGATGAAATAAGCGGAGGTTATTTCTGTTGTGAAAACAAAAAATCCTACAGATGCTGGAAGATGTAAAACTGATCAGTTGGAATTTGAGAAAGATACCTTTCCTCAGATCACCCATCTCATAATATTAATAATTTCAACATGATTGACTTAATAAACATCTACTTTGCTATTGGCAGTGACATAAACCAAAGCACTGAAACGTCAGAATAAAACTCTCACATTTGTACAAATTTAGTCTCCTTGGCACAAGAATGTTGTTCGGTTGTTGATTTCACAATTTGATATTAAAATCACAGTGATAACCGCAACAAATAATCTATCCTAACTTTTACTTCCAAATTTGCTGAACTAGAAAGTTCTTGCCCAAGATTTGCAGACTAGATTGAGATTCAACTCTGTTTTCTTCCAGCAAATTATTTCCCACTTCCAAAAGATGAAGCACCCTGCACTTGACATTACATTGCCTCCTGGGAAATCTTCCAACATAACGACGATTTCTGGGATTAAAAAGATCCCAAGCATGATGTCATCTAGGGTGATGAACTGCTGGGGAGAATTGAATGTTTTGAAAACAGTCCCGTGTTTGCATAAAGTCTGGCGCTAAGCTAAACAGTGCAACATTCATCTCAGGCAGTGGAGCATTGCACTTTTGTCCAGAAGCTACTGTTAAAATGTTACATTTCTTGTTTATTTTGAAAGATTTTGTTTCCTGCACAAGGCAGTGAATTTTTAACCTTTTTGAAACTTTTTTTTTCAACTTCCACAGAACAGTGGGATTCTGTTAGGTTTACTATAAGAATGTGGGAATTTTTACCCAAATCTGAATTCAATGTCTCTTTTTATGTATCCTTTTAACACTTCTATTTATTCAATAAACCACCCTACACTGAATTTTACATGTACATTAAGTAGAATACTTTGTTTTCAACCAACAATGTAATTGAAATTCAGTTTCATATTCTGTAATCAGAATTTGAAAATGAAAACGCCTTATTTCACATATGTACATGCTACATACTTCATTTTCTTTTCACAAGCAGTGAAATTTAAATCCAATTTCAAATTCTGTATCGAAATTTTAAACTGAAATCTAATGTTTATGGAATGCATTACACATGTGGTACCACACACAAGCTCACTGTAAATCAAATGTGTACATAAATTGTGCAGAGTTTTTAATCACAGGGCTCAGTAATATAAGGTTTTAATCATCTCACTTAGTCCGACCAGCAACTTGATGAATGGAAAAAATTTAATTGAAACTTGACTGTCACTTCCTAAACAAAACAAGCACAAGGCTGAGAAAAGATACCGTCCTGAGACACTCAACAACTGTGTTGCAATCGTGCAAACCGGATTAGCGTGTGTGAGACGTTACAGAGAAATAATAACCAGAAAGAAAAATATGTTCTGATGATGATACAGATTTCACAAAGTCACAAGCGTGAAACAAGGTTTTCTCTGGCCGGCTGGCTGGCCGGCGCGCCGAGTCAAGTTTACCGATGACTCATCCAGTAGTGCTCCATGTTTCTCCTTTGGCGAAAGGACGTTGGAGAATTTATGATGCGAGATAAATTTTGTCGCCGATCGGGCTAGGAACTCGGAATGGAGAGATCGCAGAGGGGGGAGGAAAGAGACAGGGGGACATTAATCGGAAGAAAATAAACAGGATTCCGTTGGGAAGATGAGTAAAAGAAGAAAAAGGAAAGATGCGGCAGGAGTCAGAGATTGGAATGAGGAGAGGTGCATGAAATGTCAGAGAGGTAAATTATTAATTTATGATGGAGGATGAGTTTACTTCCCTGAGGAGAACGGGAATTTGAGGCGGTCACTGAGGATTAAGATCACTGATTGAAAAAAGTAGCCGTGATGAAACGCATACAACGATATATGGACTGACAATTACAAGAGACCAGGAAAGGAAATTGGTGATATATTTTAAAAGCTGAACAAAATATATCGGTTGAATTACAAACGGATTCTTAGGTGAAGTGTGATTATTTTTTTCTAAACTAAATCAAATTTACACTTTTCAGTAAAAGTCGACAATACATGCATGGACACTAAAGTTAGAATTCTCAAAAGGGGCGATACATCAAAATAAACCAATCATCTTAGAGCTTTTATAACGGTATTAGTCAGGGCTCCCCTATAGAAGAACGTGGAACAGTCTGACCCGACCCAATCACTGCACAAATCACATACTCCTTTCTTCCCCAGGCCTCAGTTTACTTTTGGGGATTGCCGATACTCACAGTCATCGACCCCCAAAACATACCAAGGATGCTAAAAATGGGGACAGTGGGACACTGGGAGTCTAGTTCCTGCCCAGATGCTGGCTATTTTCAGATTGATGAGATGCTCCATGGATCACTGCTACAACAATAATCAGGTAGATTCTTTTAGCCTGTTTATAAATATCTTACATGCAGTTAAAAAAAGTAGCTTTATTTAAGACATGGAGTTTTGTCAGTTGAAGACAAACACTTAGCTGCACATTTGCATGATTTTATCATCTTGTGTCACAAACCTTTAATATGCGCTTTGCAAATTACCGGTAAATACATATTTACAGTGTTACTGTAAGCTGGAAAATAGAGGAAAGGATCTCTTTTCTGAAGGTTTACAAGAAATATTACATAATGTGTGACAGAGCATACAGCAAGAAGCTCTATAATAAGGACTGAGTTATTTCACTGACTGTCGGTATTATTACGGTAATTTGGAAATTAAATTTTTCCGCAAGATTAAATGTCCGTGTAATGCTATTACACTACATGTACATGGAAACGTTGCAATAAAAAGGAAGCTGTTGAACTTTTACTCCATCTTGTTCTGACAAACTACATTTCCAACTTCCAAGCATTTATTTTCAGCAACACTTTTGTATCACTATTTTCTCAAACTTGATTATTTGTCTCAACTGTCCCTCATCACTGGAGACGCAGGTAGCGAGCTGTTTTAAATTGTTGTCATTCATAAGATGTCTTGTAGTTATCACTTGCTTCTGTTGCCATGTTTGTTTTGGCCAGTCAAAGCCCCACTGGTCTCCAGACAAACTAATCGTTTCCTCAGCTCCCACTTAAACTCCGACCAAGCTCTCTGCCAGTCAGGAAGCCTTTCAATCATTCCAGGGGGCTGAGATAAATCGGCCAAATTTAGCACCAATTCCCTTGAAAGGAATTTGGAAGCGGTATTGCTAAGAGCAAGCACACTGCCTCCCACAATAGGAGACATAGAGAAAGGTGAATGCTGGGCGTACATGTATTGATCACTTGAGGAGTTTTGCGGCTCATTTGGGCAAGTGTACAAGTGGTATGACTGCACGTTTTGTTTGTTTTGCTCGGAGGATGAGAGTGCAGTTGCTCGCTCGGAGAGCAGAGAAAGTGCAAGTTGTGCTCTATGTTACAAGTAAATGGGAGGTCCCTGCCCACGGCATCACAAGGAGGATTAAAGCAAACATGCTGTTGCCGTGGTAACAATGATGAGGATGCCGAGTTTGCTCAGTAATGCTGCAGTGAAGATGTTGACATGTAGATGTAATGCAATGTCATACAGGACCAGTGGTTTAACAAGCCTTATTCACGAGTTGGCCATTTTTGTAGAGTTACCTGAATGTATTTCATGGCGCCAGACTATTTATGCAGGCACAATGCAGCATTATTTTAC